AATCATTAATTCCCAGAAAAACAGCAGAGAAAAAAAGACCAAAAAAAAAAAAAAAACCAAATTGAAGAGACAGGAGCAACTATTTGCCCAAAATAAATTTCTTTATAAACACAACCAAAAGCCCTAGAGTGGTTTTCTATTTCTAAACGAAGAGAACAGCTCACCTTTATGTTGAAGAGCCAGGGCTTCATGGCGTCCACTTCCGCCTGCCCTTTGCTGAGGTCGTAGACTGCGAGGTACAATGCTCTCTGGGTCATAAAGTGGGGGTGAGTACTGTAGAATTCCTCCCGACCTAGGTAAAGATTAGTGAGGGTTTCTTCTTTTTCTTTTTAATCTCCCAGCAATAGGCAAGAGTTGTTTTAAATGGGAAAGAGAATAATTACTTATTTAAAAGAGGAAAAAAAAAAAAACACATTTAGAGGGCTATCCTGGGGTCTTACCATGAAGTAACAACTTTCAGCACATCTATCACCCATCAACCAAATGCTTAACCTCAGCTGGCTTCTCCTCGTTCCTAACATTTCTTTCTATATACTTCTCTGTTCTGGCAAAATTGGAAGAAATGGTTTTTCACTAGTTCAATAGGATCTACCACCTCTTTGCTGTACTAAAACAGAAAACTCAAGTTTTTAAATACCTGTTCTAAATAAAAAGTAAAAATAAAGCAATAAACACCAAGAGAAATAAATACTGTACCTGCAAAATCCCACACATTGAGAATGAGGTCTTTCTTCTTCTTGCCTTTGATTTGGATAGGCCAGTCTTTCACATCTATGCCCACGGTGGCACCCTGCATTCCAAGGTCGGACTTCTTGGTTTTCATTAATTGCTGTAATAATGTGGTTTTACCACTCCCAGTATTTCCCACAATCATAAGTTTCATTCGATTATACGGCACGGCTTTTTTCAACCGCTGCTGAAGAAACCTGGTATTTGAAAGATAAAAATAAGATGATAAATTGCTTAGCAGTACACTTGGGATTTAGGTGAATTCCCATGCGCTGAAAGTGCTACATGTCAGTATGCAGAGGACTGCATGCCTCACAGAACTAACAGTATCCATGCCTTTCAATGAATGATTAAATAGTTCACGTTCAGCAGCATTATTAAATATAATGACATATGGCACTAGCACCAGCAATAAACATCGTTTATTTGTAATACTAATAGAATTATTAGTATTATTATATTTATTATACAATATTATATATTTTATTTCATATTTATAATTATATATATGTATAAGTGTGTGGATTAAGTAGTACAAGTAAAACTAACAATTATCTAGTGTAAAATTTTATAATACATGTATGATATTGAACTCAGGTACTACATATATATTTAGACTAAAGCTTGACAATGCAGTCCTATTGGTTCTATTATATATGTACATATACATTCACATATGAGGTATATGTGGTTTATAGGTTTTAGTTATATAGTGGCTTGATAATATGACATAATACAATGAAAACTAGTTCCACTGAACATTTAATAAGAATCGAACCAATTCTTGTTTTTTTGTTTTTTGTTTTTTGTTTTTGTTTTTTTTTTCTGGTACCAGGAATTGAACTCATGACCTTGCACTTGCCAGGCAGGCGCTGTGCCACTGAGCTAAATCCCCAGCCCTAGAATTGAACCAATTCTAATATGAATGTATTTTCCAGTTTCAGGAGGAAAAACTGTGGAGAAAAAATGTGTAGGATGAGGGGTGGTCATGTGGGCCTGGCAGGCAATCGGCTCTTTATTTTTTGTTAAGTCAAGCTTGAGAGTTCAGAAAAACAAATCTTCACAAAAGAGACAAAAAGTGAAATATAAATTTAATAGAATTTAAGCAGAAGACAACTGGGTAAGTGTCATCAATGATCATGTATCAGCTATTGCTCGTATGCTAGGTTCTGTGTTTGGTGCCAGGAATCACGGGGAGTGTTAGGTGCCAGGGACTGAACATATCCCGAGTTTGCTGGGCGGATATGACAGCCACGTTACAGGTATGCTGAGAAGGTCACTGAGCTGAGGCCTGTAAGGCAGAGTAACTCTGTGGGAGTAAAGCATTTGGAGAGTAGGTAATGACAGATCTAATACACTAAAGACAACACTAGCGGGGCTGGGGATTTAGCTCAGCGGCAAAAGCGCCTGCCTGGCAAGCGCAAGGTCGTGAGTTCGGTTCCCGGTACCGGAGAAAAACCAAAAAAAATAAAAAATAAAAAATAAAAAAGACAACACTAGCATGGATAAAATCCACTGTCAAAGATATTCTAAATTATAAAGATCAAAAGCACTGACATCTGGGAAGTTTGGGGGGTTTCAAAACTCATCGAGGTGAGTAGCTGTTCATCTTCAGAGGCAAAGTCAAAATTAGTAATCACATACCAGGTCAGTAACTAAAATGCTTTACATTGTAATAGGCATGTTAACTATCTGCTATATGAAATGTAGTGTGAGAAGCTATTATATCCTACTGTAATTCTTTAGATTGTGTAATCAATAATGAAAGGCTAAATATGTAGTAATGCCATCTCCCTTCTAAGCATCCACTTCTACTGAAAAGAATGATATGGAGGAGACACCTTTCCCTCCACATTAGCTTGACCTGTACAGTGGAACCATTAAGCCCATTCACTGAAAGACAGGCAGATGGTAGGGTATTGCCGTTAACAATGCTATTCATTTTTCCTTAAATTGTAACTACACATCCACCAAAATCTCAGACTGAAGATATCTGAAACACATTTAATAAAAACAAATGGAAATAAAAGTATCTGACCTGATGATGTCTTTGGCTTTACATCCTATATGTTTAAAATCAAAGTTAAGATGCAACTCATCCAAAGGAAGATCCCATATTTTGCTTAATTTCCCCATTTCATTGGGAAAAGATCTCAGTTCCAAGTTGTAACTAACATCCAGAGAGGTCAGATTTTCAAGACAGCCAATCTCAGGAGGAATCTTAACAAAACAAAAAAGAGCAAAAACCTGTTGGTGGGAAGGAAAAAATGTACACTGCTACAGGAAACTATAATATAGGAACCAAGAAAAGCTGACAGACCGCATCAGCAAATTGCCCAACCTTTCAACAGAGTTTGAAAGATTTCCAAAGGTTCATCATACATTTTTCAGTATACATGCTCGAAACCAGAAAATATACATTTAAAGAACTTCCCACCCTAATCTGTGTGACATTTATAACTTCAAAACATAAAAATCAAATCTCCCTTGATAACATACTTTATCTCTTCACAATTTTGAAAGTAAACAAGTGCTCAATAGTTATCCAAGTCAGCAATATATGGTTTAATTCTGTTCCCTGACCTAACCTGTGTTCTTTAGTAAACCATGAGGACCCAACCATTACAAACTTTCATGCAACTTAATGTTCTTGTGATACAACTAAATGTTTATACTTTACACAGCAGTATAACTGGCATGTTTTGCTTTTTCTGTTCCAAACTTCAAACAATCTATACCAGCTTTACAACAAAAAACATTTATTTGCTAGCAAAATATCCTCACAGTATTAGACTTAAGTTTTGTGGTTTTATGGAAAGTAGGCTTAAATTTGACCAAAAAAAACCCCATGTTTTGAGATACGTGGATAATCAATTTCAGACTTACAACCAAAGGAATGGTTCAAAGCAAAGGAAGCTGATCTAATGGGTAAGGGGTAGCATTGTGGAAGAATGCCAAAATTTAAGAATGTAGGAAAAGAAAGTCAGAGGAAAAACATATAGCTCATTGAACATGAGAAATGTAGCATGTCTGAGAGCCTCTTAACAGATCAGAGATATAGTGACACCATGACCCACTACACACTTACACATATTCATAATTAAATGTACGTATGTATTCATAGAAATCTTCAAAAATATAGTATGCTTATTTCTTAAGGAAATCAAGCAATGTTACTGTAACCACTTGCCAAAAGATAAGATTGGCTCTTATTCAAAAAGAAAAAATAGAAAATAATAGATTTTCAAGTGATAATTGGTGATCATGCAAATTATGAAGCATACTTTTCAGCTGGCAATAACTTGCAACAAATGAAAACAACTTCTTACCTCTCTCAGTTTATTATGAGAAAGATGCAGTTTCTCTACTCTGGACCATGTGTATGCTTTTTCACTCAAGTCCAAGATGCTGATCTGATTGTAGCTAAATAAGAGCTCTCTTAAGTTCAGAGATTTCCAGTTTGCAGGACCTGGCAGATACTCAATATCATTCCTGCTCATATCTAAGGACCGTAAGCTGAAAACAGTACGTCAACATGAAAACAATGAGTGCTTTCAAAAGCCACGTGAGATACCATCAAAAGTCATTTTATCTGAGTAAGAATAAGACATAACATTAGAACTAGCATTATTTACATATAAGTACACATGTAAATTTGTGTACACATATACGTATACATGGGTTAAAAAAATATGTTTCATTGTGACAGTGATTTAAATGAATAGGGGCCACTGAAAACATAGTTGATGCTATTGTATAGTAGAGTGACTACAGATAACAAAAACGTATTTTTTGAGAAAAGATATAAGGAAGATTTTGAATATTTTCATCATAAAGAAATGATCAGTGAGGACATAGATATATTACATAATATATACATGTATCCAGTATTTCATAAATACACACAATTTATATGCATTAGCTAAAGAGCTTTCAAAAAGAAAGAAAAAAAAAATGAGGCCCATTTCCCTACCTCAGATACATAAAAATGTCAATCTCAGAAAGATAAGGAAAAGACCTAGTATTTGACAAATGTTTACAGTGCATGAAAAACTATAATTAACAGATGTAAAAATGGTGCTTAAAATTCCTGCCTTCTACACAAGATTTAGAGAAATAGAGCACCCACTTTTCTCCTCAGTAGAATGAAGTTCACTCATCACTGAGAGCATTTTGCAGAGGTTGGTCCCCAGGTAACTATGATAGCACACAGGCACACCCTTTACCACTTGTCTCAGGGTGATAAACACTGAATATGGTTCTCTTTGGCTCTAAGAGGCCTTCAGGGCAAACTGAAGTACATTTGGGAAGCAAAAAGTTGCCTGGATTTCTACAACTATATACTGACCCTTTCTACTGAGCATATTTAAAGCTTAATGAGTTAATCTGAAGTGTACAAAGGATACTGTCTGCTAGACAAAAGTTCAGGTCACACAGCAACATCTGTGCTCTTACTTTAAAATGTTATTGGCTTTCCCTAGCTATCTTATATAAATACATGGAAAACAAGTAAAGAAATTTGACTACAATAGAGATAAGACATGTATGTCTAACAAGCAACCCAAAAAGCTGAGTATCAACAAGATTTTCTCAAGGTAGCACCTCTTTTGTCTCAGTCAGTATTAAGCTAGCCAACTGTGTGCTCACTTTTGAAACAAAGAAAATTGAAGAAATGCATACAACTCCTGGAAAAATATGCCTAGGATGTTATCTAAGGCATGATGAAATTTGAAACGGGATAATATGTTTAGTTCTCAGGAGGAAAAATCTCTTCTTTATGGCATGTTATGTCCTACTAGGCATCATAAATATTTGGCTTTCAAACACATTTTCAGGGATATATTATGTTTAAAATATGAGACTACATATACTTGGTAGGTACCTATATATAAGGGTGGGGAGTGTCAAACCGAGCCAATCAGTGTTGAAGAACTGTGACTGCAGGGTAGATGTATCATCTCTCTAATGAGCTTAAAAAGAGAAGACAGCAGCAGTAACTATTTTATAAGATTGTTAGGGAGATTAAAGAGATGACTGCAGAACAGTTAGAAGAACATCTGACACATCCTAAAGCTAGGTGTAAGCTAACTATTTGATGTTTGTCTGACCTTCTACGGTTAAAATATAATTACTATTTGCCTGTATATGTAGACATTTACACGTTGTTATGGCTTGTGTCTAGATGTCCCCTCAAAGCCTCATGCGGTCACAGGTGGGGCTTTTCCGCAGTGACTGTATTTAGAGTGTGTGATGCTGGAATCAAGGGCATGTGGTGCAGGGACTGAGGATGCAATGCTAGGATTAGGGTGAGTGCTGCGGCCCTAAAGGTGGGTAAACCAGATGAAAGATAAGTAAGGCACAGAGGGTTGTCGCTTGTCTCCTGCTTTTGCTGTTTCTGCCTGCCACGCCATAACTATTTTTCATCTGTGATGCCACCCTGCCTTGCAGCCAGCTGATTATAGACTGAAACCTCTACAAACTGTGAGCTAAAATAAACCTTTCTTCCTTTAAATGTGTGTATTGGGTATTTTGTCTCAGTGCTGAGAGAAAGCAACTAAGACACACATGTATATCTATAAATTCAATATATAATGTACGACACAAGTAGAATAGAATTTAAAATGATAACACACTTGAGATCTAATTAATGCCTGAATTTTTGGTTAAAAAGAGCCTCTCATTTTCAAGGAAATTAACCAAAAATTCTCCCAAACCTGAAACCACGTACATTGTTCTGATCATCACCAAAAATGTCACTCAAACATAACTTGAATATGATTTCAAAGCTAATAGTATTTTTGCAATATAACTTCTAAGAACAATTAAAATTTTGAAAGTTAAAGTGACAGCCAGTGTAGTGTCATTTCATTGTAAGACAACAACTAATTACACAGCCTTAAGTTTTTTCTACATTTTTATAGTCTGACAAATTAATATAAAAGCTTAAACTCTGATCTTTGGTCTAGTGAAAATCAAACATTTATATCTACAAAAACACTAAGCTAAGTAGATTTAGAAATGAATTACATTTATATGCCTAAATTAAAACTGTATTTCTAAGAGTTCTGCTCTAGGTCACATAGTTTTAAAATTAAAATAATAATAAACTTACTGTGGTAGATTTAAAATTGCATCTGGAATACATGTAAATTTGTTTTGAGACAATTTTAGGCTTGTTATGGAAGATGGTAAGAAAGGCATAGTAGCTAAAAGAAAATAAAAATGAGTTAGACATTTTGATCACCTTTTACTAGATTTCTATTAAATTCTATGATTTAATTTTCATTTTCTATTAAAATTTCATTTTCATTTCCATTAAATTCAATGATTTAATTTTCATTTTCACACTGACAGTACAAAAAATCTATAAAGTAACATAATGTCCTTAAAACTTCCATCAAATAATAAAACTATTTACCATACTCATCCCAATTTTTAATTGAAGCAACTCAATTTGAAACTATGTGATATTATTAGATGACATATAGTGTCCCAATAAGGAGGCTGAATGGTCAAAGTGATGGACTGCTAGATGACATGTAGTATAGATTAATTCAAATTACAGGCAACTATAGCAAAACACCTTTGATCACTTTGCCAATACACAATATAGTAAAAGGATGGAAATTATTTATGGTACTGTCTCATAAACAGTGTTTTATGGGATGAATGGGTGGACTCTAATAAAGGTATTATTTGATCATATTCTCTTATGAGATTGGGAAACATTAAGTGAAATAAAATGCAATATCTCAAAGTTCTCAAAATTCTGGTATAGTCTGAATTTTCAAGAGAGAAAAACAGTATGTGGTACTTTCAGGAATGAAATTCTGTGGAACACAATTCAGAGAATGGAGCAAGCCAGACTGCTTGTTTTCTCATCTGGAAAACCCTGCAGTTAGAGCAGATGAACTCCCATGCTGCCATCTAGACTTGCATTAGACCTACACGTGTCTGTGGTTCTGGGAAGATGGTTCTAGCAATTATTTCGTAGCATTTCCAAGGTTAGGCTATGAGTAATACTTTTTCTAGGAAATCTCCAAAAGTAAAAAAATCTTCTGGGACAATTTGAGCAGCTGTCTTACTGACAAGCAGAAAGACATATGCTATGCCTTACTTACTTCCAAAACACATTTGTGACAAAATAAATGTGTAGAATTGATTCTCTGCCTAAGAATTAAGACTCTAGTGGTTCAGATGCTATGCAGTCATAATACCAAAAAACTGAAACTTCATTTCACATGGGGTTAGCGGGTAAGGGTATAGTAGGGATTGAACCTAAGGTCTTTGCACTGAGCTACATTCCCAATCCTTCTTATATTTTTTATTTTGAGACAGTGTCTCTCTAAGGTTTTAGGTTGCCCAGGCTGGGCTCAAACTTGCAATCTTCCTGCTTCTGCTTCCCAGGCTGCCAGGATTACAGGTGGGTGCCACATGCGTGGCTTCACATGGAATTATTTTTAATGTCCTCCACTGGGCATCTTTGGAATACAAGTCCACTGTTCACACTATTAAGGTTGTACAGTACTGTTATAGTTTGGATGTTAATGTCCCCGAAAGGCCAATTACTGACGGTTCAATCCCCAGCTCACACAGCACTATGGGGAAATCGCGGATTCTTTAGTAGATGGGGCCTGGTGGAAGGAAGTTTTAGATCAGTGGGGCCTGATGTTGAAGGGGCTCTTGGGATCGCGGCCCCCTCCTGTCTGCCTCTTTGACCTCCCAGCCACCATGAGGCTCGCAGCCACCTCCAGCACAGGCTCCCGCTTTGATATGCTGCCCTGCCACAGCCCACAGCAATAGTGCAACCAGTCATGGACTAGAATCCCTGAAACTATGACACAAAGTAAATGCTTCTTCTTTATAAATTCACTATCTCAGGCACCATGTGGGAAAGCTGACTAACACAACTGCAAAGCAGGGTTTTGAACTGAGGTCTGACCGAGTTGTTATAACCAGCTAATTAACTGCACACCCGGAACACATCACAAAAAATCCTGATGCTTCAATTTCTTCAGTTCCTGGGGCTATTACCTGTTCTGCCCTAGGTGATGGCTGTGATTCAGCTGAGGTGGCGTACTGACCTGAACCAAGTCTCAGAGTCCTCTTCCTCCCAAACTCACCTTGAATATTACAGATACAGAAACGCTCCCCGACTCTAAAGCCTGAATCAGTCCCCATGAGGCGCCCCACAGGATCCTGAAACTTTTTCGCAATACTCAGCACAATATATAATTATGTGCATTTGTGCCACCATTGTTTAATGCTTGTCTTCTCCATTTAACTGTAAGTTCCTTAAAGACAGGTATCAGACTTGCTTTGCTCACTGCCAAACAAGAAACTATCCCTCTTTTCAGACTCAGGGTAAGAACACGGTCAAAATTCAGGAGAGTCCAAGAAAAAGAGGGAGGAAAAAAGAAGGAAACACTACACAAATTAATGTGGTTTTTATCTTTATTACTTTCTGAAAGTTCTGACAATTAAATATTTTAAGTAAGTAATCAAGATGTATTTTTCCAGCAAGCAATTTTAAGAATTATTTTAGTGAGCCAGGTGCAGAATAATCATAACAGCTGCCAGGTGTGCGCCATCTTTATCAAGATAAAACATGACGGGGCTGGGGATTTAGCTCAGCGGCAAAAGCGCCTGTCTGGCAAGCGCAAGGTCGTGAGTTCGGTTCCCGGTACCAGAGAAAAACAAAAAAACAAAAACAAAAACAAAAAAAAAAAAAAAAACATGACGGAGTTCCTATTTATTGCCATAAATGTTTTTTCACCAGCAATGACCTAATTCCTTGTACTATCCAACAGGCCAAGAGAATTTAGGGTAGTCCCAACTTTTAATAAAAATGAGGATCATCTTGTATATTACTGTAATATCTGGCAACCAGGGATACTGTAATAGCTTGCAAAGCTGAGGGAACACATATTCACTTTACTAATTTTAAAGCTGTTAAGCGATGATTTTATTTTCCAAAACAACAATGGTAGCTGCACTTATAATCTTTTTGTTTTGTTTTTCTTCCGGTACCAGGAATCGAACTCATGACCTTGCACTTGCCAGGCAGGCACTGTGCCTCTGAGCTAAATCCCCAGCCCCTGCTGCACTTACAATCCAAAAAAATCTGCTAAAGAAACTAGTGTGAAAGTCAGGACAAGGGCACTTCCCACAGCTCAGGCAGCCATGTACATTTTTAATTTAACACATTCAAAGAAACCACAGTATAAGTACTATTCACAGACCAAGTAACTGCCACTTAGCCTATCACAATAGCAACGTATTTATTATTTTAAATTACGAACATGTTTTAGAGACTTTCTAGCTCTAGGTTCATAGAAAAATTGGGTGAAAAGCACAGAGTTCCCCTCTATCTCTTTCTCACTTCTCCACCTCTTCCACACATTTTCCCCTGGTATTAAAAATCTGCATTAATTTAGCACATAGCCTCCTGTAAGGTCCATTCCTGTGTTGTACATTTGATGGGTTTTGGCAAATGTACAGGAGTGAGTGTCCACCGTCACGGGGCCGTCCAGGGTAGTTTCGCTGTGGTGAAATCCCCTGTGCTCCACTTTGTCTCCCCTCCTCCCTTACCCCCGTAAAGACAGATCTTTTTCCTGTCCTCAGAGCAAACGGGACTGGCCTTCTCCCACCAGTTTCTTTCACTTAAATATGTACAAGTATGTAAGTTTCTCCCAGTCTTTCAACGGCTTGGAAGCTCATTTCTCTTTATTGTCAACCTGCTGGCTTTATTTCTGAATCCTCAACATAGTATTTAAACTGAGACGCCTTCTTTAAATTCCCATCTGTCCATATACGGCTTCACCTGAGGTGCAGAGGGCCTGCCAAAGAGAAGAACCGTACAAAACACTCACCAAGAAAATTCATTCTGGCACTGAAACTCTCCACTTTTGGGCAAGCCTCAAAAAAGTTCTCTGGTAGAGACGAAATGTGGTTTTTACTAAGGTTTAAAATCTTCAGTTCCTTCAGGCTCAAGGGGGAATACATCTCTGATATTTTATTTCTAGTCACAACAAGCAAAAATAAGAATTATATGACAGTAAGCTCATATACTTAAAGAAAAAAACAAAACAATTCACCTTCAAAGAATCACATCGAAGCAAGCTCATTAATTTTAAAATTGGTTGTGAAAATTGGTCATTTGATAGAACTGTAATATTAATTGCCTCCGCCTTCTGTTAGGTTTTTGGTTAGAACTCACTGCTGTGGAAAGGTCAGCATAGTTTGTCAACCATAGAAAACTCGGTCAGGTACCCGTGCTGCTCTCATGCACCTCCTCTTACCCTTCTAAGATGAGCTGCTCCAACCTCTCCACAGCCTCTGGCAGGGCCTCGGGAACAGAGGACAGCTGATTGTAGGACAGGTTCAGCTGTCTCAGGGTGGGGCACTTCACCGAGCCATCTACAACTATGGAGGGTCCAATGTCGTTTCGAGACACGTCAAGGTTGGAGATACAATTCATTTTCAACAAGTAAGAGGGAAACGATGTGAATTTATTACTGTGTAAATCCAAATGTGTCAAACACCTCAGAGTCTGAAAAAACAATATTTTAAAATTCTAAAATGAACCATCTAAGAAACTTTAGCTAATACATCTGCTTTCCCTACCTCTGGTTTAAACCAGCAGGAATTGTTTTTATTAACCTGAAAACCCAATCCACAGCAGAATTTCAGCATACTCACTAGCCCAATCTCCACTGTAGCATAAAGAAAACCAAGAAAACATAGCTGGAAAATTGTGAAAAGCATTTGTGTAAAAACAGGGAGATAAGCCCAATTCAACTTTTTTGTAAGTTGCTTCTGTGAAGAGCAAGATAAAAGCAAAATATGCTTCAACAAATATTTGAATTAATGATTTAATGAAAAACAGGACAGCCAGGGATATAGCTCAGTGGCACAAGCACCTGCCTGGCAAGCACAAGGTCCTCAGTCCAATTCCCAGTACCAAAAAAAAAAAGAAAAGGAAAACAGGATAATAATGATTTAATGAATATAAAATATAATCCTGAGGATGAATTTTTTAAAGATACTTTCTAGAAATTGTTATACATTTTAATATCAGTAAGATTTAGCCATGAAAGTAGTCACTTATACAGTATTACATATTTTATTTTAGAACTTCTTTTTTCAAGAACTTTTTGCTTTAATCTCTAGCTTGTTTTGAAGAAATTTCTAATTTTAGAATAATAATAGCAAATTTATTTACATATTATATCAATTTTATTTATTTTTGTCTTTTTGAGACAAAGTCTCGCTATGCAGTTCAGGCTGGCCTTGAGCTCACTTTGTAGCCTAGGCTGGTCTCAAACTCGCAATGACCTTCCTGCTTCAGCCTCCTGAGTGCTGGGATTATAGGCATGTGCCACCACGCCTGGTTTATGTCAATTTTAAAAATACTATATTTACTGTCAAAGGGCTGAAATACTAGAAATAATGACAACTTCATGTTCTTCAAATATCACTTCTTTATATATCAATATATTTATCCTGACAAGGAATTCTAAGAAGCTTGATGTGATTATAGGGCTATTAATGACTTTGTCTCAGTCATTCTAAACTTCCTGTCTTTGTTTCTGAGCCTACCACTTTATTTAGAAGGAAAGATTTCTGTTTATTTTAATTACTTACTTCCATCATTTAATCAGGAAATCTTCTTGTAAAACAAAGCAGTTGAAATTTCTCTCAGCAGTGAGAAAATGTCATCCAATGATTTTGAAGTTTTTAAAGGAGAAAGGCCAGGTGTGGTGGTATATGCCTGTAGTCCCAGCACTTGGGAGGCTGAGGCAGGAGAACTCCTCAAGCTAGGCTATATTCTAGGTATTCTTTTACTTACTCTTACTATAAGTACTATTGAAAGTTTGCTCATTCATTAATAGTGTCAACAATTAATTCCTCAACATATTAACTCAGTCAGTATCTCCTCAGCCTCTAACACACACCAGCCTTACTAGGCTTAGGGATAGAGAGGGACAGCCTGAAATAGCCTGTCTCCATGGAGTTCGCAGGTTAGTGAGCACAGTATACATTAAATCAAAATGTATGGGTAGTGGGAATTGGGGCTGCTGTGGAAATGTAAACCAGGTGGACAGCCAACATCTTCTGGAGGGAGAGTGGAGAACAGAGACATGGAGGGAGGAAGTGACATTTAAACTGAGACCTGCTCAGCAGCACAGCACCTGCCTGGCAAGCGCAAGGTCCTGAGTTCGATTCCCGATATCGGAAAAGAACCAAAAAAAAAAAACAGAACAAAAAAAAACAAAACTGAGACCTGGGTAACTTGAGCAGATTAGCCAGGTAAAGAGGTGGAGGAAAGGGAGGACATATTTTAGATGTAGCGGTGGGGGTGTGAGGGTCATGTTTTTCCTTCTTTCTCTCTCTCCAGTTATATATACTTTGGGTGAAAGATAGTATTTAATTGTACTTAAAACTCATGCAGTTTTGCTTGAAAAATAGCTCAAAATTGTGATAAACGAGAAGTACAAGTAGTTTTTTTTTTTTTTTTGAAGACTCCTTTATCAAACTTTGCATTTCTGTCCACAAACTCATTTTAATTATTTAACCCTTAGTATTAAGGTCCTGTCATGGTATTCACTTTGGCTTTAAAAACTATTTTAGCCCCTAATACACAAAAATAATGACCAAAGTCAATATTCAGAGGAGTACCCCTGTCAACAAACTATATTATACTTTAATTCTTAAAAACATAGGAAGTTGTGCCAAAAAATCAATTTTTAAGTTACATACAATTTTAAGACTTAAAAATATCCAAAATCCAATTATGATCCTATAGCAAAGCCCAGGTATTTTACAGACAAGATAATGATGTAGCTAAGTTGAAACCAGTACTATCAAAACAGGTGTGCTTCTCCTCTGTCTAAGGTAATTTAAATAGTGTAAGTTACCTTCCTAGAATTAAGTAAGGGAGGACATCATCAATACGTAGCCTTAACAGACTTCAACATGGACTACGTGTCACCAGGACAGAACCCAGAATTCCTTTCCAATCCCCCTTCCCACTGCCTGCCCTTGGAGGTGGCTCTGAACACCACACAGACTGATGCCTGTTTGGTGAAAACGAGGCGAATGAGAGGAACGATTATCAAATGACACAAAAGCAGAGCCTGCTTCTGAAAGACCTGACCACGCCAGTATCCGGGCCATGCCCTCGTGTGGTACATGGAAGGATGCGGTCTAAGGGTGAATAGAACTTACTTCGCAGAGCTGCTGCGGGAAGCTTGTGAGCATGTTCTGGTGGAGCTCCAGTTTCTCAACATGCTCCAGATGGCCACTTATGCAGCATTTCTGGCTCAGGGCGTCAATATCTCTGAGTTCATTGGCAGAAAGGTCTAGTGATGTAATATATTCTCTCTCACAAGCCATCGAAGAAACGCTGTCTGAATTCCTCACATGGGGCTGAAGTTTTGATGACCCTTTTGTCAACGCCAAACAATAAAAATATAAGCAAACAATTTAAATGCACTTGGTAAAGATTTGCTGAACACCTGCTAGGGTCAGGCTGTCGGGAAGCCACTGGAGGCTCGGTAGGAGACCATACTCCAGAGCTTACATTCTAGAGACAGAGCTGGACAGTCAATAAAAAATATTTGATTAGATAGTGTAAAAAAATAAAAGAATTAGAAAATGAGATGAAGAGTGGTATTGGTAAGGGTATTATTTAGATTTCAGAAAACTCGTTAAAGAGCAAGTATCTAATAATATTCAGAAAAGGTACATTTTAAAATTTATAACTACATTTTATTTTTTTTATACCGCATGGAATCTTTAGGCCAGTACATATGGTAGTTATGTATGCTGAAAGTGGCACCAAGAAAATGTGAATAGTCAGAGGAAAACTAAGAAGGTAATGTATTCTGCCCAAGGTAACTATTTATTCATGATAACTTCCAAATACTTACTGAGAGAATCGTCTGAAGACAATAGTTTTCTTCTTCGCCTCAGGAAATCGTCATGATCAATAATTGGCCCCTATTGTGCAAATAATGATGTTTATAATAAAACTATTAGTAGTGAGTTTTTGAGAATATTTTAATATAGAAACAGCCATGAAATTTTAATGGAAAAATAGCATTTGTAATTATGGAGAAAATTACAAAGTGCAAATTAAAACCCTAATCCCGAAGATCAAAGGTTTTTATGCCAAAATGACCTTACACAGCATCTAAAATTTCTCCTCTGTTTTAAATATCAGGAAACTGAAAAGCAGTGAGGTTAGTCACAAAGCCATATGGACACAATTTCTTTCATCAATGAAACAATTTTTTCTAAGATAATACTATAAACTAGAACCAGCCTATAAAAAATACCGTGGCCTAATAACCTATTCAGCTACAGTCATTCATTTTGTTTATCTTAAGATATAAAATAACCCTCACGTTCTTAATACCGAATTATGATAAAAATACAATGGCTTCAACTTTTCCCAACCACAATCATCAAACATGTGACTATGTCACTGTTCTTCCATAGTTGTTATATAGATAAAAAATGATTGCTAAAAAATTAAATGATTTTCAATGCAAAAAATACACATTTTGATGAAAAATAAAAACATGCTAGTCCAGGCTCAGTGTCTTTCTCACTCCTAGCTGGTACCTTAGAAATCACTGGAAGATTTCTAGCTAAAGTGTTTATGGGACCAAGATACACAGACCTAGCCTGGCACTAGGAAAACAAGGATTAAGCCATTTTGAAATATTCTCAGTCGGTACATAAATTCATACTCTATGTGCTCAAAAATCTACAAATGTAAATTTAAGTTATGTCTAATATGTTTTCTCATATATATTTTTTCATACCTCAGAGAATTCTATGCCAATCAGTCCAAGTTTTGCCATAAATTTTAGTTCTAAAAAAAGATGTCAGCAGCCAAACATTTAACGTAATCACAGTCTAACTTACCAACGAATTGGAATGTCTCTGCAAGTTTGGAGAGCAACGTTGCAACACAGGATCTCGGTAAAATTCTCCTGCAGTCACTGAATTTGATTTCTTTTTCACAAAAAATGAACCTTCGCTTCCTATTTTGAAATGGTAAAATAACATGAAGGTGAGTAACAAAAGCTGACTCAATGATAAGATGCTAGTATCATAGTTCAGTTATGGAAGATTAAATATATTTTTATTAGTGAAAATTTCACAATCAATTCCCTTTGTGCATTCTTTAAAAGTGATAAACTGTCAGCTTTTCATTTTAAAATTAAACTACGTTTTTCTCCCTCCGTAAATATTTACTGAATGGCTGTCACAGACTAGACGCTGAAGTGCCGGATAGTGACAAGCAGGAAAAAAATAAATCCGTGCCTCACAGGAACTCCCAGTCTTGTAGGAATGAGCTCAGGATATCAAGGTTCCATACACTGTAGTAAACATATGTGTTTCCAAGAAGCAGGGAAAGTTTGCACACAAGTCTGACCAATGGTAATTCTTTTCCATTTATCTGAACTTTCCTTTTCAATTCTGGTTATAAATACAGGGATCACACTTTAAATTATTTAACATACAGTAATCTTAAATATAACACTATTTGAATTTCACGGTTTCTCTTATGCAATAACATTAAATGCAATAAGTTTAGCTGGTATTAGTCTTTAAGTTTGTTCATTTTTTTTTTTTTTTTACTGTGTTGGAGATTAAACCCAGGGCCTCAGGATTAAGCAAATACTCCACTGTTCAGTTAAGCCCCTAGACTTAGGTGAAATAGACTTTGTGAAATAAGAAATGAGAATTACTTTTAGACCTATGGATTTTTAAGAAAATATATATTAATAAAAATCATTCTAGTAAGGATAAATAATGTGGAGGTATTTTTACAAAATAAATCATTTATAAGATTTTAAATGCCATCAGTATGTAGCTTGGAAAGACAAAGAACTTTAGGTACCAAATGTGAATTATAAAACCAACACATCCAAGAACTAATTTTATGATATTCTGTATAAATCTTGATATAAACACTACCTGTCTGGTTTAGTATTAAAATTTAATTCATTCTATAATTTAAAAGATTTTTATGCTTCATAATTTTAATAAAATAGAACTCATAATTTATTTACATATCTCATAAAGGGTATTGTATTTTCACAATTGTCTCACTTTATGTTTGTGAAAGGGCTGTCAGCATATTTATATAAGCAATATCATAATGACTTATAGTTCATTTTATAATGATTTTTATGTTAACCTTTCTGATGTTCTCTTTTATTTAAAAAATGCCTGAAGGGCTCAGTGACACATGCTTAGCATGGAAGAGACTCTGGGTTCAATCCCCAACACCAGACCCCCAAAGAAAAGAAAAAAAAAATTTAATTGAAGGGAATTCTTTCAGGTATGATAGACTAACAAGCATGCACTTAAGTTTATTCCCACAGACAATTAGAAAACCAAACAAAATATGCTAAGCAAATAGGAATTTAAACACTGGCCCACAGCCCAGAAATATGCAATCCCTGAAAGAAAAGAAACAAATTATCTGCATCTTACTGAGGCATATTAGCGTGTGGCAAACTGGCTGGGAAAGTGGGTGTGACCTATTGATCACAGAGTTCCAGGACACGTGAGCAGAACAGTTCCAAAGCCCCGCACGTGCAACCAATCAGAGAGTGCTATCTTCAGTTCTTCTGGCAAGAACTTAAGCAGGTTTCTGATAGGATGGCCTAGACCTGATGTCCGCCGAGGAGTGAAATATCCAAAAGATGGCTGCCATTTTCCTTGCGGCCACTGTGCTTCCTCTTTCACAGTGGTTTGCTCCACCCTAGAGAGTCCATTTCTTTTCCTACTTGTAATTGGCCTATATGCACTCCTTCTGCAGAGCATGTTTCTTTTCCTACCTTTAATTAATGTAAAACCTAGCTAACTTTTGTGCTCATTTTAACCAATTCTTTGTTCACAAAGAACCTAGAGAAGAATCTCTAAAAGGGGTCCCCAGTACCCTAGAGCCCAGTAATGCTATTATTATTACACTGGCCTGCTGCCTGGAGGCAATTTAGGGTTACAGATACAAGAAGAAGAAATTTAAAGAAAGCCTGATGGCTCTTTGTGAGGAGATGGAGATCAACATGGACAGTGAGGTAGATGGGTGTTCCAGGCAGAGTCATAGATAAGGAGCTATAGTAATCTGCATGGGGGTGTCCAGCAAATGTACACTATAAGGAATGTAAGAAGAATTCTTCTGGAGGAACAAAATGATACCACAGTAGATACAAACTTGAATCAATACAAAGAAGTGATTTCACACACAAAAAAATTATAATCCTCCATATCCAGACACCCACTAATAGCTTCAAAATACACAAAGAATAAACAACAGAACAAAAGGGTCAATTAATACACTGAGAGTTACACTGTCAACATTTCACAAACAAAAGTGGAGAGAAAAAATCAGTAAAGATATAGAAGACTTGAAAAATGTTACCAAAAACTTTGACCTAATTGGCTTGTCCTGGCCAACAACTGAATACACTTTCTTTTTAATTGTTCTTGGGATATCACTAAGATTGACCATTTGACAATCCACACCATGTTTCAATAAATTTAAAATGCCAGAAATATTACAGTAGGTTCACTGACCACCAAAACGTTAAACAGCAACCAGTAACAGAGTTATCTAGCAAATTTCTAAATATTTGGAAAATAAATGATATTCTTCCAAATAACCCATAAATCAAAGAAGTCACAAAGGAAATTAGGAAAAAAATTTAAACTGCATGTAAACAGAATATATAAAAATTTGGAGATGGAGCTACAGTGGTGTTTCAGAGAACCTGGTATGTATTACCTTAAGTGCTATATTACAAAATAAAAAAAAAATCTACAAATCAGTATTTTGTGCCCACATTAATAACTTCTACAAAAAGCCATTGAAAATAATGAAAAGGAAATAATAAAGACCGGGGGAAAGTCAATGAAAAAGAACACCAATAAAAGAAAAAATGAATGAAACAAAAATCTGAAAAGATCAATGAAATTGATTAACCATGAGGAAGACTGAACAAGAAAAAAGGATACAAATTACCAATGCCAAGAATAAAAGATCAGATATTACAGATCCTAAAAATATCAACAGGATGAGGGAATTTCACAACCTGTGAAATGCACATAGTCTTTGAAAAATCAGAAATTCCCCAAACTGACTCATGACACAGAAGAACATCAAAATAACCACAAGTTTACTCAGGTTATTAAATTTATAATTAAAAATCTCTCCCAAATTCCAAACCTACTCAGACTTTATTGGTGAATTCTATCAGATGTTAAAGAATGAAATGATGCCTCTATACAAGGTTCAAGAAAATAGTGGACTTGGGAACATTACCCAATTCAAGAGATAAGCACTATTCTCATAATCATTAGGAAAGATGGAACCGTAGAACAACACCGTTCACAGGTACAAAATCCTTAACAAATTGTAGAAAAAATCCAATACTATATAAAACAGTAATTTACCATAACTGAGATTTTCCTTCGGACTGAAAATTGGGTTTAACATTAAAAAATCAAATCAATATACTTTACCACAGCAACACAATACAAGGGAAAAATACAACCATTTCAACAGAGGCCATAGGAGCTTTCCAGCACTCACTGACAAAAAGGCCCAGCACACAGTGACTGGGAAGCAGCTTCCGCATTCTACCGAAGGGCATCTGTGAAAAACTAGACAATGCTTTCGCCTGAGTTTGGAAACAAAGAAATGATGCCAACTCTTTGCACCCCTATCCAACATGGTACTGGCAGTCTAGCCAGTGCCGCAAGACAAGCAAACAGAAAAAGGAAGGAAGAGAAGGAGAAAGAGAAGGAGGGAAGGGAGGGAAGGAGTCGGGGGCTGGAAAAGAATAAGTACATCGGTCTTTCTAATTAGCAAAGCACGCATTTACGAACACTGAAAATTCTATGCATAAAAAGCCACTAGAACTCTTCAGTAAGTTTAACAAGTCCACAGAGTGCAAAGTTAATAATGGCTGTATTTCTATATACCAGTAGTACATTACTGGAGATTGGAATTAAACACCATTATAAAAGTATCAGAAAACGTGATAAAAACACTGTTAATTTTTAAAAGACAAAATTAATGGAAATATGTGATATATTTTTGTCAAGGGATTCATTAAGATATTCCCCCCAAAAGCAGGAGGCATCGCAATACCCAACTTCAGGCTGTGGAGGAAGCCAACAAAACCACATGGTACTGGCACAAGGACAGACATGTAGAACAATGGAGCAGAACAGAGGATATAAAACATCCACAGACACATTTCGCTATTTGATCTTTGACAAAAGGGCCAAAAGCAAAGGCTGGAGGAAAGATAGCTTATTCAACAAATGGTACTGGAAAAATTGGATATCTGCCTGCAGAAAATTAAAATTGGACCCATATCTCTCACCATGTGCTAAACTAAAATCAAAATGGATCAAAGATTTAAACATTAAAATATAAACACTGAACCCACTGAGAGATAAAATACGTAAAACACAAAGTCATAGGTATAGGAAAGGATTTTCTTAGTAGAGTGAAGAGACAATATACAGAATAAGGAAAAACAAAAATCTGTCAGCTCCTCCTTAGAAGACTAATATCTAGAATTATAAAGAACTCAAAAAAATTAGACCACTTGAAATAAAAGACCCAATCAAGAAAAGGGCAAGTGTGGGGCTGGGGATTTAGCTCAGCAGCACAGTGCCTGCCTGGCAAGCACAAGATCATGTGTTCGATTCCCGGTACCAGAAAAAAAAAAAAAGAAATGGGCAAGTGAAATGAAGAGACATTTCTCAAAAAGAAGTACAAATGGCCAACAGATAAATGAAAAAATGCTCAACATCACTGGCTATCACAGAAATGCAAATTAAAACAGCGCTAAGATTCCATCTTACACCAGAAAGAATAGCAAAAATAAAAAAGTCAAAAAATAACAGATGCTGGCATGGCTGCAGTGAAAAAAGAATCCTGCAACATTCTTGGTGGGAATGTAAACTAGTACAACCACTACGGAAATCAGTATGGAGATGTCTCAAAGAACTAAAGTTTGAAATTCCATATGATCCAACGATTCCCCTTGTAAGTATTTTCCTCAAAAAGCTAAAGACACCACATTACAGTGATATATGCATGCCAATGTTTATAAAGCATAATTCATAACAGCTAAATCCTGGAATCAGACTGTATGCCCATCAACAGATGAATGAGTACAGAAAATTTCCGAGCATAATGAATACAACTCAACTATACAGAAGGACAAATTTGAGAAATCTCTAGGAAAATGGACACACCTGGAAAATATAATGTTGAATGAAATAAATCCGACACACAAGCTAAATACCACATAGTATCTCATTTAGAAAGGACAAACTGTAAACAAAGAGCATAAGAAAGAATGGATAGAAGGAGACACAGGGATGGAGCTCGTGCAAACAGGAAGGGTCTAGAAGACCGAGGGCCAGGAGAGGGGCGAGGGGAAGGGGAAGTGAGTAGAACCAAGATATGCCAGGCACAGGATCCCAACAACCTCAAGGAATGTAAACAATATATGTTATCAACACGAGATAAAATTAATAACATGAATGAAAATGGGGGAAGGGGATTGAGACCAAGAAAGAGAGAAGTGGGCAAGTAGGGGAAGAGGATTTTTAAAAAGGAAAATAAATACATTATGCTACTCCCCAAGATAAATGTAAATGTCACAAACATGTACTAATAAAAAAGAGATATTCTCCAAATGCATTTATAGATTTAATCTATATACATCAGTGTATTATATAAATTATATATTACAGAACATATCATATCAATAACATAATGTTATATCATTTACAAATTCATTCTAATGTTGTCTTATATTTAATCCCAATAAAAGTCCTATCGTAAAATTAGTTAATTCAAAATGTATATAGAAGTGCAAAGAATACCAGAGTACACTAGCTGACTTCAAGACATATTATTAAGCTAAGCTAATTAAAACAGTGTAGTATTGGCAAAAGATAAAGATATAAATAAATGGCACATTATAGATAATGCTAAATAGAGCCATACTTATATGGCCTATTGAATTGAACAAAATTGACATTGATTTAATAAAGATTTATAGTACTTTCAATAATGATGTTGGAACACCTACAGAGTCATACAGAAAAATAGAAGTAAGTCTTTCATCGATACCACACCCAAAAAACAACTGGCAGTTGACTACAGACCTGCATGTAAAAGTATTTTAACACTTCTTGGAGGAAACAGGCCAAACTATTCACAAATGTAGACTAAGAGATGTTTTCTAAAAGGCGGTAGAAAAAGCTCAAACTATAAAACAAAAACTTGAAAAACTGTACTTCATCAACATGTGAAACTTCTTTTTAAAAATTACCATTAATAACATGAGAAAAGAAGCTATGACTGGGGGGAAATATTTGCAATATATATATCCACTATGATTTCTACCCGCAATACCAGACTATATAAAGAACTCCTAAAATACAATACGACAACAACAATTAGGAACAAAATATCTCAACAGATACTTCACAAATATAATACGTTAATGATGTGTAAGAACATGAAAATATCCTCAATAGGATGGCCATAAAGGTAAATGACAATTAAACCAAGTGAGTTAGAACAGTATCTCCACTAGAAGTGCTAAAATTAAACTGGCCAACAGGATCAAACATTGCAAAGGCACCAGAATTCTCATGTATTTCTGGTGGGACTGTAACACGGTACAAGCACTTTGGGAAACAGCCAGACATAAAAGAGTACATACTGTGTGGTTCTATTTATGTGAAACTGGAGAAAACACTAATTTAACTTGTAATGACAGAAGGCAGATGCGTGCTTGCCAGGGTATGAGGACAAAGGGTCATGTTCTGTGGAGAGGTATAAAGAAACTTTTATGCATGTTGCACAACTTGGTACTAGTAATGACTAAGCATTTATAAATATCCAAAGCCCCTGAAAATATCTATTTAGAAGAATGCATTTTATGTTACATAAATAATAACAGTAAAGATGATTTCTAAAAATTACTTACACTTCAAATATTTCAGTTTGTGAAAACTTGCTTTTTGCCTTCTGAAATATCTTTATTCTAGAATTCCTCTTTTTTTTTTTTTCTTTTTTCTCTTTTGGTACCGGGAATCGAACTCATAACCTTGCATTTGCCAGGCAGGCGCTGTGCCACTGAGCTACAGCCCCATCCCTCAACTATCTTTATTCTATCACTCAAAGTTTCAGTCATTCAGTATATAAAAAAGCCCTTCATTCCCATTCTTACCAAGATGCATTATATTAAATGTTAGTCATAATTACTACCATTGTATGTCTTGTTAATGTCAATTTTGTAAAAAAATTATCAAGTGAGCTATTAAAATTTTAATGTTGTTTTCAACCATGATAAAAACCAAAAGGATTTTATTCCATGTCTCCTATCACCAGGCAGTCCAGACACTTTACTTACTTTTGAATCCTTACACGGAACCCTGTCATGACAACTTTTAACAAGGCGAAGGAGCTATACACAAGCTACAGTGAGACAGAGTCACCGCCTGAATGCAGAATGCACCTCCAGTCTGAGTCCGTTTTGCTCTCTAATAGTCGCCATTAACTGATCAGGCTGGGTAACACTTGGAAGCACAGAGACACATGTTCTTGCTTGAACTGGAGTGAGGCTCCATAACTGTTTCCAGTAAGAACCTCATTTTACCCAAATTTATCCAGGTTTTAGTCATTTCCACTGTTTAGTACCAGGGTATATGTGCAAAGAATAAAGGGAACTATGCTTCGTCATAAATACCTTCACTATCCAGGTCATCACTCTGACCAAACACACTGTCCATAGAAGAATCTGGGATGAAGGTCCATTCATCAAATTTATCAAGTACATCTTCAGGAAAATTCCCATCACTGCCTGAGGCTGCTCCTTCTTCGACAGCACTTTTCATCTGATATCTGAGCACCATTCTTGCTAGCATAGATCCTATATCTAAACATAAAACATATACCAGCAACTTCGGATTCCACAATTATACACACATAAACCAAAGCTCCTTATGTTCTCACACTTCCGGAGAGCTTTCCAAGGTCACTTTACAATATACAATGATATGGAATGGTGACCAAGGCGATAAATTAAATTTTTAAAAAATCATTAGCATTCATCTAAAGCTTGGATATAAACAACAAGATTGGATTGTAAGTAGTTTGATTCAAGAAAGGACTGGGTGCTGGGTGGGGTGACTCATGCCTATAATCCCAGCACTCTGGGAGGCTGAGGCAGGAGGACTACAAGTTTGAACCCAATCTGAGCAATTTAGCAAGAGCCTGTCTCGAAATAAAAAATAAAAAAAAGGGATGGGGATGTAGCTCAGTGTGAGTGCTCCAGTTTCCATCCCTAGTGCCACAAGGAAGGGAAGGAGCAGGGAGACCAAGAGGAGGAAACGGAGAGGAGAGTGGAAGAAGAGAAGAGGAGGGGAAGGAAGACAGGACTGGGCTGTGAAGGCCTATGTGAGCTCTCTAGCGCCATCTTCTCACCTGGAAAGTGAGGATGACAGCATATTCAGCACAACATTACAGAAAATATTACATGAGGTGACGCAGATAAAATAGCACACTGCCTCAAACATAGGTGTTAAATAAATGATATAGCTATTTATGTAAACTTTTCTGAGTGATTCATTCTATTGGGAAATTTGACAGAATTTCAAAGTTTAAATTCTTCTTGAAATGCCATTACACTGTAGTGTGAAGAAATAAGTTGGCAGGTTCCTCATTGTTCTAAATATAGCCTGGAAGTTTCTTCAAATATTTGTCTCACAGCGCACATTAAATGTTCTCTATGTGACTCAGTCAAGTAGGCCCTGAAAAATATTGTATTTTATTTTCATTTTTATTTTTTTATTTTGTCTTTTTTTTGTTTTGTTTTGTTTTGTTTTTGTTTGTTTGTTTGTTTTCCGGTACCGGGAATCGAACTCACGACCTTGTGCTTGCCAGGCAGGCGCTGTGCCACTGAGCTAAATCCCCAGTCCCTCTTTTTTTTCTTTTTTCTTTTTTTTTTTTTTTTGGTACTGGGAATCAAGCTCACGACCTTGCGCTTTCCAGGCAGGCAAACAGGCATTGTGCCGCTGAGCTATATCCCCGGCATTCTGAAAAATATTTTAAACCTATGAATCCAAACTGTGCCTCAGTTAGCTCAGCCGCCAGTGAAATTGGGGCCCCACTCTCCAATCAATCAAGTGACATTATTGTATTTTTTTAATTAGGTAAGACTTCTTAGTGCTAAGAACTTCACACAGAACACAGAGAACACAACAAACGGCAAATCTCTCCCTGGGACTGCAGTTCCTTCCATGGGCAGCCAGATATTAAAGGAAGCAGCTTGTTGACATGAACTAATGATAAAACATGGCACTAAATCATGTCTCGTCAGTTTCCAGTGTCCCCAGAGGCAGCCCAGAAACCTATTTGTGGATGTTTTGCTGACATATTTGCATATTCACATATATATATCTCCCGTATCTCAGTGGAGTTTTCAGCATCATTAGTATGCTAAAATCACAGTTCCATTCTTTTTTTCATTTAATGCACTTTCTGGGAGATGTTTAAATTTGCTACTTGCTTTCCCTCAAGGAATGCAAAGCATTCCACTGCATGGATATACCGTGATTTATTGAAACAGTCCCTTTTGGGAAATACTTGGCCCTTTTGGGAAATACTTGGGCTTTTTGGTCCTTTTGGGAAATACTTGGGCTTTTCCCCTCCCTTTTGCTATTTTAAACAATATTCTGCTATACAACATTTATAGGTTCCTTATGCACACTGAAAATGTCTGTACTATGGATTCCTAATGTTATATTGCTGAGTCTAAAACCCATGTATCCCCATTTACATGTACTATTTTCACATACCAGTTTTAAAAATTAAAAAGATTTTAAAAGTATGAACGTATACTGAAAACATTCATGAGTATCACTAGATGTCCTCCAAGGAAGAGAATTTCAATTGCTATCAACAATATGTGAAATGTTTGTTTCCATACATTCTTTTCAACACCATTTATTACCAACTTTTAACTTTTGTCAATATTTTACATGTATAATTGGAAGGCAGATACTGGGAATAGAAAAAGATGTTCAAATGGGAAGGGGAACAAGGGCGGGGAAAGGGGACAGACAAGGAAGGGAAAAGAAAAAGGGAAAAGATGGAAACAAAGGTCATGTTAATGGGAAGGGGGAAAAGGATTGAAAGGAGGGAAGAACGAGTAGAAAAAGAAGGATTAAGATATATTACGTACAGGTAAAAATTCCCTATGATGAATGAGATCTACATGGATAACAAATATGTACTACTAAAAATAACATTAAAAAATTTAATGTGTAATAGCTATATATTACGTGCAAAGAGCTAGTATAGATACTAGGGTTACAGTGATGGACAAAATGGACATTGACTTCTTGATGCTTACAATCCAACAAAAAGGGAGATTGTAAAACAAAAAGAAAAAATACAGTAACATAATATGCTCGGTAGTGGAATAGTTGAGAGAAAGAGCACTGTGACAGCACATAGGAGGATTTTCCCCTCAGATTTCCGGGAGGGGGGGATGTTTTCTTATAAAGTGAAGGTGTTGATGCAGGAAGTGTGAAGACAGTGAGATGAAGAGATAAGGGAGGGAGCGAGAGACAGCAACTCTGAGAAAAGCCTGGAAGTTCTAGGGGTGTATGAAGCATACAAGCAAATGAAAGGATGTCCGCCTGCTGGTATTTATTTCTAAGGTCCCCTGGAAGGTGCCAGACCTTGATATATAGAGCCACCAGTGTGGAAGGATAGATCATTTTTTTAGCAGCACTCAGGTATACAGTGAAAATTAGGAAACAAATTAATCAGATGGGGAAGGACTGGTGTGTTGCCAGTCAAATCACTGCATTTACATTGGATCCATTTTTGCATCAGAGAAATGAAAGTAAAGCAAATGCTATCAGCAAAAGAGTCCTTCCAGTGAAGAGTCACAGAACAGGATGACTACAGGGAAGAAGGTGAACATGGGAGGAAGTTAAGGGGGAAGCTAGAAGCTCAAGAGCTAAAACATTTAGTATAAGTGAACAATCAGAAGCAGATCAGCGCAAGGTAACTGGTCATCAATCGAATATAACATATACTTGTTCATTTGAAAGTACAGAGAAAATATTTCCTTAACTGACTTCAAAGTACATATTAACTTGAAAAATGACAAGGATAGAGGTATTTTGTGTATCTTGTTTACACAGCGATATACAAAGTATTCTTGTGGATACTTACTTGTTTGTTTCCTTAAATTAGATGTCTTATCTGGAAATAAAGGAGCAAGCCAAGAAGGCTCGATTTTTCCTATACAAAATCCTCCAAGGCAAATGCTATTGTTGGCAAGGTCCAGGGCAAGCCTCCTCAAGAGTAAGCTGATGATCTGGCTGTCGCCCTTCTCGATGCTGATGGTCAAGGCTTTCCTTACATCTTGTTCACGGGACCCGCTGTTGAGCAACAGTTCCACCAGTTTGGGACTGCTCTCTTTCTCACATACCTATTCAAGGGAAAAAAAGCAAGGGTGCCTGTGAAAAACTGTAAACTTCCCTTCTGGGAGACTGGGAGACTGAACTTGGCATGATTTTTCTCTACACGAAGTGAGAAGTGTAAAGTGAAGGTGGACTGTTGACCTGATTGGCTTTGGGATCTGTCTGAGGGATCAGGAAAGCATACCTGTGGGTATGTCTGGGTGGATCCCAGAGGCATGATGTGGAGTCTGTATCTGGCCACTCTCCCCTTCCTCTCTGGCATTATTCCCCTGCTATGCTTCCCAGATGGCATCTACTAAGCATCTTTGCTCCAGCCCACCCTCCCACCATGGTGTTTCTGCCTTGGAAGGAGCCAACCATGGACTGAATCTCCTGAAACCGTGAGACAAATTAAATTTCTTCTACTTTAAGTTGTGGGTGTCAGCTATCATACCTCAGCATGGGGAAAGCTGGCTAATACACCAAGATAAGGTTCCCACCAACAGATAAATGGGTAAAGAAAATATGGCATATACACATATGGAATATTACTAGCTATTAAAATACTGAAACCCTGTCATTTAAGACAACATGAATGAGCCCAGGGAACATGTTAAGTGGAATCAGGCAGGCAGAGAAAGATGATACACGTTCTCCTTCATCTGGGAAATCTAAAAAGAAACTGATTTTATGTAAGCTAGGAGAAGAATAGTGGTTACTAGAGGCTCAAGTCTTTAAGAGGAGAGTAGATGAGGATATATAATTATAGTTAAATAGAAAGAATATTATTTTAAATGTCCAAAATAGGCAAATTCATAGAAACCAAAAGTTGTTAAATTATTGTGTGAGGCCAAAGGATAGAGAGAAGAGGACAGATGGTGGGGAAGAGAAATGATAAATGGCTACTAATGGTTATACAGTTTCACTTCTGGAGAGAGAGAGACAGACAGACAGACAGACACACACACACACACACACACACACACAGAGACAGAGTTCAAATTCAAGATCCTCCCGTCTCAATCTTCTGTGTAGCTTTAATTACAGGTATGTGCCACCATCCTAGCTGGATCATATACTTTAAATACATAGATCCCATGATACATGAACTATATCTCAAGAAATATGCAGGAGAAAAAGAAGGGAACAGCTGTACAACAAAGAGGCCAAATATCAGAGAAAAGATAAAAATGAGGCCTTGAATATTTACCTGGCAAATTAAAGGTGTCGTCTCCTTTGCTTGATTGGCATCAGCTCCCAGAAGAAGCAAGCATTCAACCATGATACTATTGTTCTGATCACACGCTCTCCTCAGCATCACACTTTTTAGCTCATCATCCACAGCTAGTTTTGCAAAGCACTTGCAACAGAGGCTCAGAAACTAGAAAGAATGGAAACGATAATTAGAGCCACTAAATGCCTCAACGTTAGCCTATGGGTGAAAAACACTGTACCTGTCGATCCTTCCGTTCCATGATACCGGAAGACAACTGATGGAATATTACTGAATCAAATGAATGGTGCACCAGCAACTTGGAAAAAGATACTGACAATTCAAGTATTGCCAGGACTGTCTGAAACCCCTGAAAGTAAATCCAAAAATAATAACATAAACAGTTACGGGCAAAGGGAAATAAATATAATAGACGATTTGGATAGGGCACTTAATATCTAGTATGTTCACTTCACTAAGCAGATATATTTCTTGAGTGGTGCTTGGCAACTGTGAACCCTAAAGCCGTCCTGTAAATACTCCTTCCTCTCCTACTATGATGCAGTGCACAAAAACACAGAGAACAAATGCTAGTTAACAAATCAGCTTCAAACAAAGCAAGAAAAAAATACCCCTAAAATTTGGCATACAAGATCACTGTCTGGAGCCATTTACATAAGATGAAAACTAGGTATTAATCAGGATCAAAAATATGGCCAATACAGAAATTTTTGTTTTTATTACAAGATTACAGAGTAGGTTCTCTAGATGGGTCAGCATTCCCCCAGTGATTTTGTGCTGTATCCTGAAATTTTAGCCAAAGAGAAAAATATATACTCCTAGATTTCACTCATCTTGATTGCATTTGAAAGAAGCTCTGAAGGCACTCCAAGCTGTATACTCCTGTAGCAAGTTCCTTATAAAGAACAGCAGTAGTATTTAGAAACAAACATCCCCTAAAGAGGTCTGACTTCTCCAGCTACGTGAGGTTTTTAAGATGAGACTTCTGCCTTTAGCATTATTAAATGGCACGGGCAAACCCACCAAAGAACAGCTTAACTTATTAATATAGGATTACCGCTACTATCCCATGTAAATGAACTTGTTGAAATATTGAAATTACTACTGTGCATTACTAAGATGCTGAGTTTCTACAAATGCTAACATTTGATAAGAAAAAGAGTCCTAATTTGTGCAGGAGTAGGAGACAGTTGGTCCTCCTGCCTCCAGGACAGACAGACTAGCAAATTCCAGTGCTATGGAAGAGTTCGTGATTCACATACGTGTAGCAGGCACATTGCTCGGATTAAAAACTGTTCAGCATTGAGCTGGCTAAGTAAAATACATGACAGGTCAGATTTGGGCTCTCAGTTGTAAGTTTATAAACTCCACCCTAGGAATCCCAGTTACTGAAAGCTCCATACCTGCTCAAAATCATTTCCTGTCCCTGGACTATTTTTAATCAATACTGGTTTGCCTATAATAAGTATAGCATTAGGCACTCTATTAAAAAGCAGATTTATAAAATGTATTGTTTATAATCTAAGAATGCTATGTATTCAGCACTATACATATCTGTGCAAAGTTTTCCATTAGATATCCACTAGATATTTTTATTCCTGATTAATGCTACCATTTAAGAAAAAAAATTTTTTGTTTGACTGTGTTTTACCAAACATGCAAACTCTTAATTACTAAAATCCAGGCAGAAATGCATTTTTTAAAAATTAATTATTTATTTTGCTAATTTTAAAAAACTGAATCAATTTCTTTCTTTCTTTCCTTTTTTAAGAGGTATGGCAGGGGAGGATCTTGCTACATTGCCCAGGCCTGACCCAAATCCTGGTCCTATGTGATCCTCGCATCTCTGGCTCCCAAGTAGCTGGGAATACAGGTGTGCTCCTCTGCACCAACTAACAACGTATTTCTTAACCTCCCTTGAATTAACCTTAGGCTATCTTGGATCCTTTATAAAGACAGTTATTATACATCCTGATTTAAATTTTGCTTGATGAAAAATATTTTAAAATATGGCTTCACTGCAGGAAAAAAATCCCGAAGCAAATGACTAGAGGTACACAGCCCATGTAAAACAGAGAGTGATAAACTTTGGAATAATTATAACTTGCCTTTATCTAAAATCTAAGCCAACGACGACAACAACAAAAAAAAACTCAGCTAACTAGAACTGCTTTAGCACATTTTCACTGAAAAGACAAATGGCAAACAAACTGCTGATTTGAGAGATCTAATAATGAAACTCCAGATCTTTAGAGAGTCAATCCAATTCTCTCCTCCTTCTATAATGAAAATACTACAAAATGATAAATGGTTTTTAATTAACTAGGACATCCAAATGCAAAGTGGGAATTACACGGACTACCCCCGCACAAGTTCCCAAATCCCTTTCCAGACGATGCACGCACTTTAATCTGCACTTCAGCATCATCTTTAAATCGCTGTAAACTGTAAACCAGAACATTTGCCACCAGATGCCCAGCTCCTACACGTAAATTCTTCTTCGTAATCAGGCATCCTATAAGACTTAAGCCCAGGCACTGGATTTCTAGAACAAGAAGAGAAACAAATGACAAAATCAATCATTTCAAACTTCAAATCTTCAAAAATAAAGACCTGAGAACAAAAGCCAGTGCCCTACAAACATCAGCTCTGAATCCTGAGTACCAACCTTGGTCATCGGGATACATCTGCAGAGTGTGAAGCACTGAATCAAGGGCGCCTTCTAGGCATAACATCTCTAATGCCTCAGGGAAATGTGCTATGGAAGAAATGACTTTTAATCCACATTTCTGAATCCCAGGATTTCCAATGAACTAAAAGTCAAAAGAAGTTTAAGAGTATTTACTATTAAAAGTGAGATCTGAATATCTGTATCAGTTAAAACCAGTTGTAGATTGATAAAACACAAATAGAATAATCCAAATACAAATTAGTATCTTTAATTCTGTCTTCTATGTTATTAATTACTTTTATGCTTTGAGAACTAGCAATTCAACATTCATTGAGTGCTTGTTCTGTGCCAGCCATTGTACTAAATACACAATTTCTTTTCATTACATCTCATGAAATTTACACTAATATCATTCTGAAGATATGCATTGGAGAAAACACAGCCTCTTCAATACATGATGGAGAAAACTAGATATTCACACAGGACACTGGAACCTGACTAATCTCTCTCACTTACACAAAAATCAACTCAAAATGGATTACCCCCCAATACAAGCTGAGTTACAGAGAGGTAGGTTTGAGTCACACATACTGCAAATTGCAGAACTAAAACAAAACTGAGGAAGTTTGACCCTAAAGCCTAATTAGTACGATGCAACAATGTCTCATACAACACAAAATATTAATTGAATATTGAGTGTAATCCAAGTGCTTACCACACCTTATTTCATTTCTTCCCTTAGGAACTTTATGCAGTAGATTTGCCAGACTTTAAAGATGGAGGCACAAGTGCTCAAGTCACATAAATAGTAAGTGTCACCCAAGCCTTGGCTGTGAACGTGCCTGACCTAAAAGCCCAGGATCTTAATCACAGTATCTTCCAACTTCTTTAATCTGAATTTCCTCCAGATGATTTAACATTACTTATGGGTATTCTACTAGAAGCTGCTTCCTTCTCTAGTTCACCTTATTCACTGAGAAGGAATCACCAACGTATTTGTGGAAAAACTAGTCAAACCTCTTCTCTTTTGATGTCTAGGGAACATATCTAATATTTACTCTGGTTACCCCTGCCCCTCTCCGCTTTTTCCTACACAAACAATCTCCCCAAACATCTACTGTAATATGAATGCCCACGTTTTAGTTTTCCTTTCAAATATTACAATGCTACCCTCTTCCAGATTTTAGCTGATTCATACAGGTAAGACTATATGAACCCTGGTTCCTTGGTATCTCCGATCCCAAGATCTGATTTCCCCACCACAGGTACAGGCTACAGCGGAAAGGGCACCACGCCCGACCTCGAACTCAGGTGTAGCACCTTTGGCCAAAGATCCTTCCTTCCAAGCTTTCTTACTCTGTCCTCAGTGAACAAACTTATACGCTTCCCAGTCTAGTCCTTCAATGCCTCTCTATTGTATTCACTATTTTAAAAAAACAAAAATAACACGGAGTACGAAGAAACATCAGTCTCTCATCCTGTGCCGCTGCTCTCCACCCAAGTGGAGAATTAAACGAGGTCCGGACACCATTTCCTCCAGCACCTTAACAAAATACTCTTCCCCTTGCCTCTCTTGGCATTTTTCCTGTCCCTGCTTCCATCTTACCATCTTTCCCTGAGCAGTAAAAGTGCATCCACTTTGAAGCCATTAGATTTGGGTTTAACTTCTGAAAATCTGAGGACCATCCAAAAAGAGCAAAATAGCATTTACTCAGAAGTGATTACAAGGGTTACTGAACAAACACCAACAAAAGCAATGTCACACAATGTGAAGTTAGGGGAGTGGTTTAGTGTTTGTCCCAGATCCTGCGCTCGGAAACATGCCTAGTAAAGTAGAACTGTTCCAGATGAAATGTGATAACTTGTACAGGACATTAACACTGAGCAACGACCTCAGACCAGGGCTTCGAAGAAACACTCCTTGAAAGTGAAATTTCTAAGTTACTGAGAGTTTTTCCTTCATCAGCCTTTCCTTCCACTAAGCTACCACTTTTCCTGCATTTATAAAGTTATTAATAGAAAAGTCTCCACCCACCGCAGCCACATTCTTCCTGTCTCTTAATTATCAGACTTCTGTTCTCACCACTCTAAATTAAAACCATTCACTGGAAAAAGTTCAGCACCAACTGAATTGCTGCTTTCTCCTCCCTTGAGTTCCCTGAGACAGCACGCCCCTAATTTTCCTCGAACTTTAAAACCATTCATTTGTCCCTCTCCTTTACAATCTTTTATTTCCACTCCAGACGCTGTGAAGAGTTCTTTTCTTAAAACACTTCTATTCCTGGGTAGGATTTTATACACAAATATGCTAAGAAAGGCTCCACTTGCCATTGCTGTCACTATCTTGAAGTCTTTGACAATTTTACAATAAGGGGTCCCATAGTTTCATTTTGTACTGAGTTCCACGAGTTGTGCAGCCGGCTTTGCATCTAAACTCAAAATGTACCTTATTTTTGTGCTAAAAATATACTCAACTGATATTTACAGAGCACCTATCTTTACTTCCAACTAATCTCTATGTAACTACTGCTCCTTACAATGGGAAGCTCCCTCTAACTTCAGCCTTCTTAGATCCAGTTCAATACCTGGCCAGCAACAGGAAATCTGTGTCTTGTCTATGCACAAAGAGAATCCAGAATTTCACAGGCTCACAGATGACAGTGCTTAAACTGAATATAGGAGTATTTGACTTTTAACAGTTTAGTACATTTTTAAAATCATATATGTGAGTATTTGAACACATGTGTGGTATTTACATGCCTACAATGGCCTTTCCTTCACTTACTCACTGACTTACCTTGAAGTAGAGATTTTTTTGTGTGTTACTATTCAAATGGGGATTACAATTAATTTCCTAGTTTCTACTCAGTGATTTTCAAGTGGAAATTTTGGATATGCCAATAGAAGGGTGCCTGTAGACATTAACTGGAAACATGCTATGCTTCACAACTTTCAACTTTTTTCTTTACAGAAAAATCCATAAATAATTGAAATGGTTTCTCTAATGAGTCAGACAGACAGCTGAAGGAGGAAATTTCCTCCCTACCCTCTTTCCTGACTGCCAGCTAAATAGATTAGCTAAGAAAGAAAATTCCCTGATCATTTGGGGGTTTGTTTTCTTTTATCCTTTCTCCTTTTTCTTTCATACTACATCTTTGTTCTTTATATAAAAAATAACTGTATGGATTGGCATCCCATGCATACAAGTAGCTATCAAGCTGATTTGTGGCCCCTGTATTGTTCTACAGCAAGGCAAATGAGATTCAACATTATATGTCTTACATCTACAAAGACAGCTAAAATAATGCAATAGAATATATACACATATACATAAAATATTTTATATATAAATAGGCAATTCAAGAAAACTTCGATATATATTCTATAGAGTTGGACATATATTCTATAGAGTATATGTATTATATAGAGCATACCTATTCTACATATAAACACTACATGTATATGCATATAGGTGCCCATATAATTCAAGAAAACTTTTCAGGAAAAAAGGATTGAATGTACAGCTATAACAATGACATCACATCCCAGAACTATCATTAAGATATATATCTTAATAAGGTGACTCGATTGCAAGACAAAAAATCCTTTGGACAGTCAGGCAAATCTGTTAAGAAAAAAAAAAAAAAAAGAAGTCTGTCTCCACTCTCCAGGTGTCTTCACTAAGATATTCAACACTAGCACACACTGAAATGCCTACAAAGTCTTCATGGAAAGAAAATAAAACCCCAATACCTTTAAAGTCAGCCAAATTGTTTTTGCAAGAGTTCAAGTGCAAAGGCATCAGCAACATAAGGAAAAAACATTCTAACCACTAAAATACTCAACGAACGCAACTTTTTGAAAGAAATTCTAAAAACAAAAAGATGAGTGAAAGCTGAATGGAAAAACTGTAGCAAAAGGACCTGAGGTTAACAATGAATTCACGCAACTGAGAGAATAAAATGAAAGCAATTTTAAAAGTATAACTACAAAGCTGAGTATAAATGTTGATCAACATACAGTTTATTTACTTATTTCATGAACTGTTGGGAAAACACAAGATTATAGAAGTGTGAGTACTCATATTCTCAGCATTTAGAGCTAGAGGTCAAAAGATACTTTTAAATCTAATAGCAGTAACGTTAATATTTACTGAGTTCAGACTATGTACTATACATTGTACTGACACTTTCACATGAAATACCTCATAAAATCAACTCTGAGTAAAGCATCATTTATTGGGCCGGGGATATAGCTCAGTGGCATAAGCACCTGCCTGGCAAGTGCAAGGTCCTGAGTTGACTCCCAGTACAAAAAAAAAAAAAGAATCATTTATTATCTCTCTTTTATATTTCATGAAACTAAGATATTAAGTAATTTGTTCAGGGTACACAGTTCATAGGTGGTAGACCCAGTCATAAGGAAGTAGAAATATACTAATTTCATTATGTCATGTAAATAGTGTGTTAGCATACATGAAGAAAAAAATGATACCTGGGGAATACAATAATATTCATGAAAGATTTGAGATTCTTCCTTAGCACATTAGCAGTCTCGTGCTTTTTAATCTATATCTATCCAGAATTACATAATTAGAAAGTAGTATAATTGATTTGGTTAGTCTCACTGATGGCCATTATACCACTGGAACAGGTTACACTGCAGTAAAACTCTCAATATTTCATAGGCTGTGAAAATAATGAGTTCAATTCCTACCCAAGCTACATGTCTGCTGCAGCTCAGGAAGGCCCTGCTCATTACTGTCAGCCAGGGGCTTCTGCTAACACGCAACCACTATTTTAACCATCACAGGTCACAGTGCGTGAGAGAATGTTCTGGAAGATGCCTCACCAGCTATTAAATGTTTGGCCTAGAAATGACAAACATAATCTCTAGTTGTAATTCCTTAACCAAAACTAGTCACATAGTCTAAAATACTGTACTACAAAATACTGACAATCACCAGAAGATGCAGAGCTAAAAATATTTTTCAAACAACACTAATGGTTAACAAGTAAACAGTTGGTTGTCACATTTTCCTTGTTACAAATTATGCCACAGTGACCATTCTTGTCTAAAAATATTTGTGTATATATTCAAGGATATCTGTTTTATAAATTCCTAGGATGGAATTTCTGATCAGAAATCATGCTCATTTTAATTTTAATAAATATTACCAAATTTCTCTCCAAAAGGTCATTCTTTTTAATTTACATTAATAACGATTATAGTTGAAAATCTTTTCTTATGTGTATACCAGTTTTATTTTTTACCATTACATTTCAATCGCTTGCAGTATGTTTTGACAAAAAGACTCAGGTAAAGATTCAGCTTCCTTTGTTTTCCTCAAATGGCTGGAAAGCTAGTGGTTCTGACACAAATTACTAAGTAAATTATTTTTCCTCCAGTATTGGAAAATGTCATGTATGAATTGAACATTTTCATTTGACTCTATTTTCTGAATCATACGAATTAATTGTTCCATTAATTTTACACTAGCCCACCTACTTCAAGAAAATACTACTGTTATTTTTATTGGGAATATGTAAGTACGGATTATTATTATTTTTTTTTTTTTGTCTTTTCTTCCAGTACCAGAAATTGAACTCACAACCTTGCACTTGCCAGGCAGGCGCTTTGCCGCTGAGCTAAATCCCCAGCCCCAATATAGATTATTTTTCAGTTTTAAAAATGAGTCTGAGTTGTGTTTCATAGAGTAGGCCTGTAATCCTTTTTTAACTATACCCACAGAGCATTTTTAATTGCTGTGCTTGTTATTGTTTTTGCAAATGTTGTCTGTCTTCAACAAATGAAATAAATGTCTTAAATATTTAAGCCAGGAATGTACTGCATTAAGGTTTTTTGTTTATTTGGTTGGTTGGTTGGTTGGTTGGTTGGTTGGTTGGTTTTTTGTTGTTGTTTCATTTCGTTTTGTTCTTGGCAGTACTGGGGTTTAAACCCAGGGTCTCTGCACTGAGTTACATTACCAGGCCTTCATCATCTTATTATTTTTTTGTTTGAGATAGGGTCTTGCTATGTTACTAGGTTGCCAGGCTGGGTTTAAACTTTCAGTCCTCCTGCCTCAGCCTCCCAGAACCCTGAAGTTATAGGCATGTACTACCATGCCTAGTTACTTCAAGGTTTTTGTGAAGCCCACAAGCTCTTTTCACTTGTGAGCATTTCAGCAGACTGGTTTTACCTTATAGGGTCTCCTGGACAAAGAGAATAGTGGTGTCACTGCATACAAAACAGAAGCAGTCAGGGGCTGGGGATTTAGCTCAGCCGCAAAGCGCCTGCCTGGCAAGCGCAAGGTCGTAAGTTCAGTTCCCGGTACCAGAGAAAAAAAAAAAAAAAAAAAAAAAAACAGAAGCAGTCAAAACATCAAGGGTATATTTCCTACATTGCTCTTCAGAAATGAATCCAGAGAAAGAGATCTCTATGGAGCAAGTGACTAAAAGTCTCCATCTGAGGAAAACTAAAAGGATCAAGCACAAGCAGCACATGGATGTTCCCAAGGATTTCTGCTTCAGCTTGAATTCTAATGCTATATTTTATATACAGTACACATTAAATAATTTGTGGATCATAGTTGAACCTAGAGTTTTATCTTATTTAGAATTCTGCTCTGAGTTTAGACTAAGTGATAATTCACTTCATTGTTTTTGCAATATTTGTACCTAAATCTTCAGATGCTTTTAACCGGAGTAAGACATATGACAGAATTTCAGAGCTACTAATTCTCAACTTGTAGTCTTTTTTGTCAGTCATGATGGAGGGTCAGGGAGATAACGCTGGAGAGCTTTCTAAAATAAAATGCTGCTGCTTCTATTTCCCTTTGACCGTAGCTATTCACCTCTAAGTAACAGTCACTGTTGAGTGAGACGAGAAAAAAAAAGTAGCTTTCAATCTCCTAGGATACAGCAGGAACATAAGACCTAGGACAGAGCGTCTTTCTCTCCATTCTCCCACTCATACAACCAAGTTTGGCAAATTGAAATCAGAGTGATCGATAAGGCTTTTCCAACACCTCCTGCTTCTCATCAATACTCGCCATGAATAAAATTAACTGCATCTTCCTCTTTGTTCCTAGAATATGTCTCCAAACCTAGTATAGCTGCGTGCTAATGCTAGCAATGCGTCTGTTTCATGCGTGGTCCTTATTCATCCAGCCAGAGTATGAGACTCATGACAGAAGAGTACACAGCATTCTCATTTTGGCCTTCCCAGTGCCTATTATTCCTTCCATGCACTTACTTCCAATAAATACTTCCACTGTCTCCTAACCGTATGTTTTTGCTACACTCAAGGTATATATATGAAAGTTTACATACAAGTGATTCACATAGCATAAACATCACATTATAAAGTTCACTTTAAATTGAATTTTAAAGGTGATCTTTCTGGAGGACACTCTAATTAAGTCATGACATTTACTAAAGTATACCTAATCAAAAGGAACCATTTCCATGAATTACTTTGAACACTATCTTCCTTTTATAAAACCATTCACTCTAAACATTATTTAAATATTTACTCATGTTTTTGTTAAAAACGAGTTCATCTTATGTTAAACTTTCAAATTATATACACAGACATGCAAATGCATTCAAAAACGGTAAGAAACAATGCGTAGCAAATCTTTTCAGAGTTTATCTCTGAGTACAGCAATGAAAAGAGCACAGGGAATCAAAAAAGATTCTAATGCTCTCACTGGTATATTTTTGTGGGTTGAAATTTTTACCATAGCAGACCAAGAGCACAGACAGAAAACAGCAGCCATAGTTCCTGTCATAACTTGTGAAACTGATTTGCATAACCAGGTCTTTGGTTGTCTTTCAGATTAAGCAAACTCAAGTGGAATCACACTAACAGTCAAAGTAAGACTGTCTATCTGTAGTTGATAGTTACTTATCTCCGCTGGATTTAGCACTTGGTACACATCCCTTGGCCCCCACACCCCTATTGGCATCTTGAGTTCCTACAATCATAGTAAGCAGAAAATTTAAACTGGAAAAAAACCCTCTATTTCCCTGAATTTAATATTCTAGTTAACAGTATAAAGTCAGAAGATCTATATTCAACATACCCTGTTCAAAGCTGCTAGGACCAGTTTGTGAATATCATTCTTTAAACACTGTCTCCTAGCCATATTCAGTTTACGTTGAGATTCATCTCTGGATTCTTCTGGCATACCTAAATGCAAACATAAGTAAGTAAATAAATACACGCACATGTAATATTATGGCTCAGATCTACAATGTCCCCCAAAGTCTCCTGTGTTCACAGGTGGGGCTTTTGACTGGATCATGAGGGCAGTCACTCGCCAGTGGATTAATCCACTCCTGACTTTATGCGCCACTGGGAGCTGAGGCCTGCTTGGACCATGTGGGTCCCTTGGGCTGTGATTCACAAGGGTGCATTCTCCCCAGCTCCTTTCCTCTCTCTGTGCTTCCTGGTCACTATAGCGTGAGCGGCTGCCCTCCTCCAGGACCTTCCACTATGCTGCTTCTGGCTTGGAGCCAGGTGACTTTGGACTGAACCCACAGGAACAATGAGCCAAAATAACCTGCCTCCATTCCGGGATATTTTGTTCCAGCAATGGAAAGTGACCCATAAACATATGTACGTACTTCTCTCATAAGTATTAAAGCTGAACAAATTGTCACTTGTAAAAAGTTATCATAATTTACCTAACAAAACACATGTACTGTTTTCCAGTAAAAGATTCCTCATTAGAGTAATAATACCAAGTTTTAAGAAATCTGTAAAAGTATTTCATCATTGAATACAAAAAATACAATGCATATGGATATTTACTGAATTCAAAGTGATAAGAAATTACCTACGGTAGTGGAATTTTTTTTTAAGTAAACAATCTTTTGCAGGAGTTGGCTCTAGTTTAAGATTTTAGAAGATTTTCATGCCACAATAAACAACCTTAGAAAAGTTAAATGTTATTTGTATACAGCAAATATGGTCAGATATGAAATATAGACATAAAAACAGCTGGGATAATGGTGGAAAAACAAGATTTGAGTTGCAGTATTAAGATGGTGGAGGGTTTGTCATTTAACTATAAGACATCTAAAGACTGTATAGTGGTACTATTGTTTAAAAATACTACTTATTAACCTACATTGTAGCTGAAAGATCCCAAAACTATTGAAAACTCTAGAAGTCAAAAAATTGTTATAGAATACCATGTACCAGTAAAATTATGTTGAAAGACTATCTTTCTCAAACCTATAGAAATAATTATTAATACAGAATTAATCATAATCTTTCATCTTTATAATTAGTATTATGAATTATAAGCTGGCTGTTTATTGCCTTTCCTTCACTCAGTAGGAAAAGGAGTGCCAAGTATATGCCAGGGTTTTTGCCACATGCTGGGAATACCTCAATGAGAAGGTAAGCTGGGCTCCCACTCTCCTGGAACTCTATTCTTCATGCAAAATGTATTCAAATAGGTTCTGACATTTGCTACATGGCAAGTCTCAAACTCCCTGTGTAGCATTTTGAGTGACTAAGGCCACATTACCTTCCGAGGTTACCCACGACCCTACAAGCAGAGGGGACTACTAAAAGAAGGTCTGTTGAGTAGCAAAGATGTCTTGCCGCACTTAAGGAGGCTTATTAAACTCTGTCCTGATATTAACCGCCAAACAAACCTTCCTTTAGCTTTCATCCCTCATCTCTGTTCTACCTTGAGGTACTAACATCCACAACAGATACAATTTCCTTTCCACTAAGCAGTCTTCTGAGCTGTGTGGACTGTCAACTTTCTTGAGGCAGAATCCTTAGCCTCATCACCTCCAGCCTCAAGGGCTCCAAGCACAGTTGTTCAGATATGACAGGTGTTCAGTAGACATCGTTGCATAAACATGCACTTACAAATGCCTAACAATCAGGCTGCATGGGTTGAAATCTTAAATTCCTACATCTCTACACCTCAGTTTCCTCATCTGTATAATATGAAGAAGTAAAAGAAGGAGGAGGAAGAAACATCTGTTTTACGGGTTGCTGTGAAAATTAAAAGTTAACATATGCAAAGCATTGTAAATAATGCTTGATCTTTTTTCCTCTGGTATTAGGGATTGAACTCAGGGCCTTCACGCTGAGCTCCATCCCCAACCCTGTTTATTTATTTTGAAACAGGGTTTCACTAAATTGTTAGTTTCACTAAGTTGCTTGGGCTTGGCTAAACTTGTGATCCTCTTGCCTCAGTTTCCCAAAGTGCTGGGATTACAGGGGTGTGGGATTACAGCCACCTCACCAGGCTGCCTGATTTTGTGTGTGTGTGTGTGTGTGTGTGTGTGTGTGTTTGAGACAGGGTCTCACTATGTCTGCCTGATATTTTTTTAATCCTCTACATTGCTAGGCATTATCATTGTCATTAGTTGCAAGTGAGTAGATTTTAATACAGTTTTCACACTCTAGGTTATTGCTTTTCTAGGTTAAATGATCTCAGTTCCTATTACTGCCCTTATTAATACGGATTTACACAGCTTATTACTCTCCTCTAGATAACTCTTCATGGGCCTGTGCTCTTCCCTAAATAGCTGCATGTTATTTTCTCTAGAACTAAGTCAAGAGAGAACAAGTCAAATGACATTTTCTTAAAATAACGGGGTGTCTATTATCATTCTATTGCAGCACCCAGCTTGATGTCTGTGTAACGTAAGTTACTATAAAAGAAATTAAAATGTACAGTACTAAATTGAAAAAGGTCTTGAGACATATACTACATGCAAGACATTGCACTTAATTGGGTACTAAATTATATAAATTTAAAGCAACACAATTTTTTTACTATGGAAATTTGAATATGGCCTAGTATCTGCACAGCAAGATGTCTTACAAGGACCTCAACTTAACTTGTTCAACCAGAATGATATTCAATATCAACATTACAGAGTTACTCACTTACAGGTAGAATAATACAGTACAGTAGTATAACCTGGTAAGCATGCTGTGCTGTTGTGATTGGTATGGAGTATGACACGGGCAGATTGTTCAGCCTTTACCTAACAGAGAAATGTCTATACTCTGTTTATACTCAGTATATAAGCATAGTTATATAGTAACATGCTTCCAAAATGTGTCTAAGAGTATATTTTCATATGTAAAATAAATCCCTAAAGTAATTATTTTCAAAGGCACTCATGGCCACCTAAGTGTTTACTGACTAACAAATGTGGCTTCAGGGCCTATTTAAGATCAATAAAAGAAAAGAAAAATTATATTCAAAATTTGTCTGGGGACTAAAAGTATACTGTTTTATTATCAACTGCCCTGCTTCTGAACGTCTTTTGGTAATTTTTAAAACTCCCACCCACCCTCAAAAGAATCAGAGTGATACCTTTCAGGATACGTTGTTGCTGTTTTAGTACAACCTACAAACAAAACTCTAAAACTCACAATATATTTATATTATGTCTATTAAATTACATCTCAAAAATTCACCGATAATTATGACTCAATTAAAAATATTGATTGAATAGCTGTTTTTGCTCAAGGTCCAAGGACCTTTGAAAAAATGACTGAGCAATGCTGTCCTTGAAAAACACATGATCTTTTTTTTTTGAGACAGGGTTTTGCCATGCAGTTCAGGCTGGCCTCAAACTCACAATGATCCTCCTGCTTCAGCTTCCCGAGTGCTAGGATTACAGGTATGTACCACCATGCCCAGCAAAAATAAATAAATAAAAATAAAATAAAATAAAAACCTTGTAACAGGTCTATTCTTAGCCTCAGAAATGTAAGATACCTATATAATGACAGAAAATGATAGATTTAAGGTGATTTCATTTCAGAAGGAAACAGCACTTCAAAAAATTCAGAATTTTATAGAACAAAAAAGAAAAAGTATTAGCCCTTATATTTAGCAGTCATAGTGTCCTAGCAAATACATCTAACCACCTCTCAATTCATCCTCTCCTGCCTGTGTCCAGGGCCCTCTTCCCTGCCTCACTTGCCTACCAATGACCTCCAAGCCAGCAATCCTCCACCTGGTCTCTCCCTGCCCGTCGCCCTCCATGCCTCAGCACTATACACATGGCTACAACCCTACAAGCTTTACGCTCCTCTAACATATTTGAGTTTACTTTCATTTAAAAGAAAAAGCACAAATCATCCAGCACTGCATCCAAGTCCATCACTTCCGGCCTCCATCTGCCCCGCCACGTCCACCCCCCAGCAGACCTCTCCTCAGTCTCTTCCCTCACTCTAGACCATGGGCCCTGCCCTTCCCCTTGAAAAGTCCTTTCACCCTTTCTCCCAGCCAACCCTACCCATGCTTCAGTCCCAAACACCACAATCTCTGACCGGCTCCTTTGAACAAGTGATTCGTCCCTCCATAAACATTCTCATACACACATGCTTTAGCAGCCCCTTCTTTCTGTCTCATAACTAACAACTGACGTGCTGGGTACTTCTAAGCTCCTATAGCACTACACTCCTGCGTTTCTTCCATTCATCTTTCAAGCCATGACAGCAGCACAGTGTTCAGAACGTAAGAGGCACTTTAATAAATACGTGTTGAAGGAATACAGGAGTAGGTGTTTTAAATGGGCTTTGCAAGACAAATGAGGTAACAACAAATGTAAGTAAATAGGAGTGGAGGAGGAAGCCGCTGAGGTTAATGAGTAAAAGCCCCACGGTTATACTGGAGAAAAATCAACCCAATCGCAGAGTCAAAGAAACACTGAAATAAAGCAAGAAATGAGGTATGAACGTTAGCTACTGCTTACAGTTCAGGCAAGGAAAAATAAGGCTTGAACTTGAACTGGGGTCACAAGCACAGAAACGGAAATGAAATATCAGAAGTGAACACCTACCCTGGAGATAAAAGGCTCCATGTTTTTATACTGTAGCTATTCTTTGTACTGAATATTGTTATTAGGTTTTGTTATAAACTAATCTCAGTGGCTCTTCCACATTATCATTCACCCTCTACTTTTGGCTTAGGAGAAGGATTTGCCTTTGGTTGGCAAAAACTGGTTCTTCAGATTTGCTTAGAACGTTGCTATTTCATGTAAAGTAAAAAATCCATTTAAACTGCTATCTGTTTGCACAATCTGAACTCACCTGGCTTTATAAAATGTAAAATAGCTCGAAGTGCCTCCAGCTGCACTGGCAATGACTTCTCATGACTTTTCATAACTGTTATTATTTTGGGGACCAACCCTGCCATTGTATCCAAGGAAGTGTTGCTGGAGAGATAAAATCAGCATGTTTATTAAAGATACAATCCGATTCAATTACTCAAACACCAAATTAAAACAAATGCAGAAAAACAGAACCAACACATATTACCAGGAAAGTGCATTTGAATTCAGTTATATGAGCATACAAAGTTTTCATTGCTGTTTAATTAAACTTGGACCTCAAGAAGCAGAGTTCACAGTAATGTGGGAATTCTTTCCCTTCATTTTCATAAAAATAACAACTTCTTTTCGGATATATAAATGGGTCATTGGCAACAACCCCTAAAGACAGATGTTATTATCCCTATTTTCCACTTAGGTCATCAAAGGATAAAAGGCAGGGTAAAGTCCTTTATCTAGAAGGAGATAGAGTCAAGGCCGGTGCACAAACTTATCTGACTTAAAGGCAAGAGTCGCTTACATCATACCCAAGATGAACATCGCTGGATTTCTCATGTGATATTCTTAATGTGTTTTAGCTTGCATTCAGATGAGCAAATTTCACTTGGTGAGATTCTAATGGCTACTATTAAGTTATCAAAGACAGTCTGCTTTGCACTGTGTGATGTTAACTGAAAATTATGCACGTCAGAGCTGTGTGCCTGCTCTGTACGGCTCCACAGTCAATGCGATATAGTATTCCTTTCTACCCAGTTTTAACACGTTACTTCTCCTCTTCAAAGGAGGAGCCTGCCCTCCTTTGGCAGTGCCAACCGGGTTCACTATGCTCTTCCCACTGTGACTTTTATACACCACAGCCTTCGCAGTATCACACAGGACACGATCATCTGTTTACATATCAGTCTCCTCAATTAAACAATGAGCACTTGGAGGGATATCTCCTTGTAGTTAAGTTTCAGTCTCTAAGATTAGAACCACAGACCTTTTACAAATGAGAAAACCGCCTGATACATTAAATGGCTTGCCCAGAATTCACAGAATCCTAAGCCATATTTTCTTAGCTCTTTTATCAGATTTTTACATCATTCATGAAGGGGCACACAACTCCAGCACCATAAAAATGAACATTTAAGACCAATGTTTCATTGAAATGTTTAAAAGCAACCTTTAAACGGGAGAAATATAACTTAGAGATATGATTTATATACACTTAAACAGATTAGCTGGATTGATAGTACAAACAGCGCTCCTTACAAGCCTGCAGAGAGGCTGCACACAATTTATCATGCTATATGTACTTAATTCCTTTGCCCTTAATAGCAGCAGTAGTAGTTAAAATATACCAGGCATCATACCAATCATTTTATAAAAATTAATGTATTTATTTAATTCCTACATCACAAACACACAGTTTATGGGGTTGTTATTACGGTTCCTTTTTGCAGATGAGGAATCTTAAGTTTAGCAATCAAACACTTGGTTCAAACGAATGCCAAAGCCAAGACACAAAATCGGTTTTCATTACAACACCTGTACCAAGCATTCCTTTATTTTTTACCCATGGCAGTTTCCAATACAACCTCTTTTTATTTGCTATTTACTCAGATGATTTCAAAGTTACTTTACATTTTTTTATTAATAAACTGCAAAAAGGTACTGAGTTTATCCTGCAGGAAGTATCAGCTGGATGGATTCAGTTTTTGCGTTTTAAACAAGGTTTTTAAAAGCCAGTACCCCTGCTCTCCCATCCTCTAGCACAGATAAAAAGATCTGATCCTCTTATGCTGCTAAACAAGCACAGAGTCTTCACAATTCTGGCCTTGAACCAGATGTGAAGGAAAGGTACCCTAGCTAAGCAGTGAGAGGAAGAGAAGAGATGACAAAGTTACTTCAAATGCAGGAAAAATAATAAATAATGTACTCAGTATGAAAAAGCAACAGTCAGAAACTGCATGGGGATTTTGTATCTTTCACAAACAATCATTTGAAAAATGTGTAATTCATGCTGCATAATGATCATTTTTGAAACGTAATCAATGCCACACATAAAGCACAAAAATAAACTTTCACCATACTTTTACCATTTCTATGATTCCTTTTACTGTTGAAACAAAGTAAGTCTATAATGTCAGCGATGTGAGATTCCACTGCAAAAATTTCACACTTCAAATGGTTTGTGTTTTTCTTCTCATTCTTAGAGATGTGCTTGACACACTACTCCGCCTGATTACTGTATATTCTGCACAAGCTTATAAGCCTATATTACCTTCCTTCAAAAAGATGGTTCAGCATTTTACAGCCACTTTCAGCCACTTCAGGAGAATGTATATGCCTCTGCATTAACTCCAACACATTCAGGTATATTCCTTTGGACAACAGGATTTTTCTGAAATTAACTGCAAGGTATTTTTTGAGGTTAATCATCAAGATGAAAGCACATTTTTACAATTTTGTAATAAAATATAGAATATTAAGACACTCTAACATCTTAGGAAAGCACACAGAAGAATATATATAACTCCTTGGCAATTGAAAGTTACTAATGTCTATTTCTTTAAAACACATATCATTCTCTGTATTTTCACAATTGTAAATTCTTTGTTGAGGTTTCAGTTTGGGTTGTTTTGAGCTATTCTGTCCATTTCCCCCAGTGGAATGTATGATCACGTCATTTTTATACATGCCATTATGTGCAAAAGGATAGAAAGCACTACTGTGAAACAAAACTAGTTTCATTTACTGGCACAAGGTAATGGCAAAGTAAATACACAGATATATTGGATAACTGAGTGTATGTTATATGTAGAAAAATAACTAGACATTATGGTTTGTGTCCGGGTGTCCCCCCAAAGCCACATGCAGTCATGGGGTGGGCTTTCAGAGTTTTGATTCATGGTTGTGAGTGCTACACCGCCCTGAGGCAGATAGTTTGCATATGTACAGGAAAGAAAGAGGCTGCTTGCCTCCACTCCTCCCTTCTGCTCTTGTTGTTTTTGTTTTCTGCCACCATGAACGGGTGCCCTATGCCTCGTGGCACCCTGCCTTGGAGCCAGCCGAAATGGACTGAAACCTCCACAGACTGTGAGCTAAACAAACCTTTCCTTCCTTAATTGTGGGCATCAGGTTTTTGTCTCAGCAATGAGAAAAAAGTAACCAAGACACTAGATTTTAGAATAAGCATTATATAACTAATTTTTCTTTTTTAAAACACTTCACTGAGTGCAATCTTTTGCCTTGAAGTCTTCATATATGTACCAATTGTCTTAAAGCCTCTATATAAACATGAATTCCAATATTATGTATTTCAACTCCATGCTCTGAAGGTGGCAGAAAAAGAAAATTGGCAAGTTTCAATTTAAGTGCTTACTTAAAAAAAAAAAAAAAAAACAAAGAATGGTCCATCTCAAGAAGAAAAGACAGACCAAAATATAGAAATAAATGAAGTGATATAAATGTTCTAAAATGTTAAACCTCTAAAATGCTAACCCTCAAAACTGATACATTTTTAAAGCAATGAGGATATCACACATTAAGATATAAGGAGTTGGTGACTTTGTTTGATCACATTAGAAGTTGTAGCTCTCCCAGAGTAGCTAGATTCTAACCAAGGAGATATTTTAAAACATAAAAGTTATTCTAGACCAGTACTTGTGAAATTTTAGTGTGTTTCAGATTTACCTGGCGTGCTTGTTACAACACAGCCTTTGGGGTATGGATTCCAAAGTTTGTAATTCCTTAGGTTTGTGTGGGGCTCTGGAATTCACATTGTTTATAAGTTCCCAGGAAATGTTACTGGTCCAGAGACCATACTTTAGAAACCACTGCTCTAAAGAGTAACCCAATGTGTGACTTGTATTGCAAGCACTAGGCCAGGGAGAAATTTCATCATGAAATCACTTTAGCCTAAGACATTTTACACATTTACCAGATACCTAAATAACACTCTGACCATGAAGCAGAAAGAGCAGAGAACTGATTTTGAAGCTATATATCAAGATTAATTCTGAACATCACTAATGCTCAGACATCATAATAAGCAGCAGTCCAAATCTCACAAAGTCATGCTTGTTTTGTTTGCATATCAGCAGAGATTTCCAGGTTGCTACGAATTGTAGAACCAACACACCAAGCTGGGCATGGTGGAGCACACTTGTACTTCTTGCACACAGGGAGGCTGAGGCAATAGGATTGCCGTAAGTTCAAGGCCAGCTGAATCACACAGTGAGTCCAAGGTCAGCCTGAACTACAAGGTCCTGTCTCAAAATACTAAAATATAACAAAACAAAACAAAAAACCTATAACACAACAATACACCGCTGTTATTTGTCTCCTCTCTACGAAGCCACATACAGAAGCAGCAAGGTTTAGGCTTCATCTTCTAGAATGAAACCCCTGTCCAGGCCCATTTAACTGCAGAGTAGAATACAGCAGACTCAAGAATAGCAATTCCCTTTCCTACCCGCCCACTCTGACTCATTATCCTGAAGGCAAGCCTGGTCTGTATCTCAGGGCCCTTGCCACCCCACGCCTTTTATTAAACTACCACCAGAGAGATGGGGCGAGAAAGAAGGAAAAGCTGGGACCATTTCCCACTCAATTTGACCTAAACAACAGTTTAAAGAAACACGCACCCAATGCTTTCTTTCCCTCCACCCAGGGTCTGCACTAAAAGCTGGTGCTTACGCTGCTCTCGATACCGGATTCATCTTTCAGTGTTTTTTTCCCATTTTTTTTCCCTCTCTAAAAATATCCTACAAAAGCTGCCAAGTCCCTACGCTTTGATGACGAGTTTTCTCCCATTCTTTTCGGGCAGCATTTCCTGTTTATGAGGCAGGAATCTGGGCAGCCTGAGTCCTGACCTTAAACCTCAAGGGTGCTTCCAAAGGACTCCTCTCTGCTTAGTCATGCTTCACTATAACATGTGAGAAGACTTACATGTAAAGGATCATTTTCAAGAAAAACTGTAGCATAAAAATGTCATACTAGGTAGTTTTACCAGATTTTAAACTGGTGACTTATCTCTCCACCCAGATGCATTCCTATACAGTTTTGTTAAGAAAATAACAGGAAAAATACAAAAGCAACCCATTAGTGTTTATTTTAGGATCCAAAAAACCCCCATTAGACACAAGGTAAAAGTCCATCAATAAGATTTGCATAAAGCAGACTACAGGCATACACAGGAAAACTACACAACTATTAAAAACGATAATGTGATAATATGCATTTATCAACATGAAAAATATAAAATGTGATTGTAAAAGGGTGTGGCATGATCCAATTTCTGCAAAATAATATAAAATCTACTGTGGGGGCTGGGGATTTAGCTCAGCGGCACAGCACCTGCCTGGCAAGCATGAGGTTGTGAGTTTGATTCCTGGTACTGGAAAAAAAAACAAAACCAAAAAATCTATTGTGTATATCACACAATATATGTGAGTACATATATAGGAGTCCAGAAGAACATACATCAAAACATTTGTTCTTTATCCTTTACCTATAACTCAGTGCATCCATATTTCAGTTTTATATCTATGTATTTAAATTTTTCACAATACAAAATGCGATGCGCCCCTTACCATTCTGTTCCAGGAGTGTGGACAGCGCAGCCGCAGCCGCCCGGAGGACTTCTCTGGATGAGGCGTGCATGAGCATGGCCAGCATCACTTCCCTGTGAGCCGGGAACCTTTGAAAGAGTCAACAGTGAGTTAGCAGTCAGCTTGGAAATAACCAAGTCCTCATCACCATCTAATAACTCTGACGGCAGGGGTTGGGGATTTAGCTCAGCAGCAAAGCGCCTGCCTGGCAAGCGCAAGGTCGTGAGTTCGGTTCCCAGAACCAGAGGAAAAAAACAAAAAAACTCTGACGGCAAATAAGGGCAAGGCGTGTAAATAGTATTTTATGTCACTTCCATGTACAGGGATGAATGCTAAGAAATTAACATTGCTGCGTTTCTTCAAAAGCTGAGAAGCAGTAAAACTGCTCCGCAGATCCATAAAAAGGTGCTCAGAGGAAGAAGAGGAAGTAAGGAAAATAGAATGAAAACAGAAGAGGAAAATCAAAAATCATAAAGAAGCATAAATGCATGTCCAGGGGCTGTAGCTCAGTGGCTCAGCGCCTGCCTGGCATGCACAAGGTTGTGAGTTCAATTCCTGGCAAGTTCGAGGTAATCCCCCCAAAATGTATGTTCACAGGTATATTTTCTTTTAATATTATTTTAAGAATCCCCTATGAATATTGAAGAGTAGGTATACAATGAACTGAGATTTATAAACTGCAACATGAATCTGCCTTAACCTAACTTCTTGAAACAAACTGATCATTGTGGGGATTACTCTGAGGCTGCTTTAACATATAGTGTTCAAAAGAACTAGTTTTTCTCAAAGTGGAAATGTTTAATTAAATAGTATCTGTTTCATCAATTTCCTTCTTATGGGCAGTAGATCATTATGCAAATGGGCTGTCAGCATTTCAGATGTCAAATACTACAGTCTGAGTTTCCAAAGTAAGTTATTTGTATGGTAAGCCCCAGGGAAATCCAGAAGGCGGCGCAATGATCAGCAGCCGCCATAGTGCATGAAGGCCTGTGGAAAGGGAGCAAATCTGATGTACAGGAGACTCCCAATCACAGTCTGTGCCTGGGGGGAGGAATGCAGGTCTTAGGAAGCTCGCACGGCCTGCTGTCAGGGTCTCCTCACCAGATGGCGGCTTCAAACAACCCTCTTAGGAGAAGACAGAACAACCCTGCCTCACCAAGTGGGAACGCACTGCAGGGGGCTTCTAACCAGATCTAATTCCTGATCCCTCCTGGCTCATCACCCTAGCAGAAAGAGTCCAGACAGTTCTGTGATTCCTAACACCTGAAATGAACTAATGGGCCATTTTTACATGATCCGCAAGAAAACTGACACTCTGTCCATGATTCACAGTTCAGTGAATCTCAGTATCTCAGTAATGACTCCAACACACCACCTTCTCTAACTACTGAAAGCAAGGAGATCAAACTACTCTACACTCACTACTGACACACAGCAACAACGAAGGCACACACGCCTACGCCGAAAATATCTCTAACAGTGAAAGCTGCGACTGAGGCATTTTATGTGTATGGATTAAAACATAACGGAGAACTTTCACAGTACAAAATCGGAGCTACTGACTGGCCGTCTTCGTCTCCAATCTTCCGGTGTAAACTGCTCTGGTACATAAGGAGGTTATTGAGGGCCCAGCACGCCGCCTCCTGCATTGGGGGAGGAGAAAAAGAAGCTCGTCAACTGAGAAATGACTGGAACCCATCCTTGTGAATAACTGGGATATGTACGGAGGCCCAACCTGCACACGCTGGTTCTTCCTGTGCCATGTTAAGGCCCTGTAACAGGCTTCGAGCCAAAACAGTTTGTCTTCCTCCTCCTCCTCCACATTCTCATTCCTCTCCTCCAAGTCTTGATTTAAAAAGATGGTCTCGGCTTGAAAAATGTAAAACAAATACATATACCTTATATACGTATAACCCACTGACTGTCTGAATAAACGTTGTAAATCCATCGTTTGAAATGTTATCGGCAGAGTAAGGTATTCTTTAGCAGCAGCGTTGGTTGATTATAAAGCAATTTTAAAGACATTACACAAGTCATAATACTCCTATTCCATATAGATAAATGCCAGAATGAGGAAGAGGGTACCAAAAAAAGTAATCAACTAGAAGAGGATTATTTAAAAAGATTAGCAACTTTATGACCAAAATGAAAGCAATGGTGCCGAACCAACGCTGCATGAGCAGGGATGCCATACTTCTTAGCGCCCAAGAAAATATCCTCTATTGGAAAATGAATCACATTAGGACAGAAAAGGCATTTAGTGCTTCTTTTCTGCATGCAATCCTCGTTATAATGCTAACATTCAGCATCCAACGCACACTTAGGAATTTTCTTTGTAGGGCTCGTGGTTTAACTCAGTGCTCCAGCACTTGCCAAGCATGCCCAAGGCACTGGATTCAACACCCAGCACCACACACACACACACACACACACACATCTTCCTTGGGCTGGGGATGTAGCTCAGCAGCCCAGCGCCTGCCCAGTAAGCACAGGGTCCTGAGTTCGATTCCCAGTACCAAAAACAAAGCTTCTTTGTAAAGCTACTTACTGAGGAGCGCTAAACAGCTAAGAGCCGAGGTCTGCAGCGGTGCATTCTCTGGGTACTGCTGCACGGCTTTCACCACAAACACATGGACCTCGTTTAATACCAGGATATTGAAAAAATTACCTAAAAGTTAATGGAGACATTACCGAAATTCTCATCCACAGTACTTAACCTGTCTCTGATAAATAACGGCATTTAAATCAACAAATTGGAGTAGGTATGACTATCTTAATGACATTAAAAACATGTATTTACTTTAATCAAACTATCTTAATATGATCGAATAAAGTTTGAAGTCTTGCCCATGATGTCATTTACATACCTTACTTATACAATAGAAATATATAAGAAAAATAATTAAGTTTGTGTTATTTCAACCTTTGTCCCACCATCATTCTATAAAGATAATGAGACATCCACTCTCTATGACACCTACAATATTCACTGCATGAAATAATTTTCTTGCATTCTAAAAGATGTTAATCTTTTTATAAAAACTCATTATTTAATCCTTTTGTTGAAATACCTTTCTCATTTAAAGAAACACCTCTTACAGAACTCTGTCCACTTACTATTTGATCTTGTGTATGGCAATCTTAGAAAAAAAAATTATTTACCACCTCTAACCCACCTAAGGAAAAGGTCTCCTAACTTTCTACACCCAGTCTTCTGAGCACCTTAATGTATCATTCAGAACTCTAACTCTTCCTGAGGAGAGAATGCATACATTAGATTCCAGAAAGGTGTGCCTCCTTCTTTACAGTTCATTTCTCCCTAACACTCCCCAGGGCGGCTTCTGAAAGTAAGAATAAAACTCCTGCCTATCTGTAAGTGTAATGAAATGATTTTGGGACCCGGAGCCAGAAGTGAAGATACCCTCCACCACACAATGCCTGAACCCCAAACTAAATGTCAATCACTGGCCTCAAAATCCAAGGGCAGCTTAGCCAGCTGAGCTCCTCCCCAGCTTCAGCTCCAGGGCACCCCTCAGCCCTGAGCACGCCCCTCCTCAGAAGGTTCTCCCCCGCTCTTCCCAACCTGGGTAAACTGAGGCTGCCTTCACTGCTCTTTCCTCTATTTTTACTTTTTTTTGAGACCGGGTCTCACTCTGCAGGCTGGCCTTAAACTCACTATTTAGCCCAAGCTGGTCTCGAACTCAGTGATCCTCCTGCCTCAGCCTCCTGAGCGCTGGGATTATAGGTGTGCACCACCCCACCGGCATTCTTTCCCCAAGTCTTATTCCCATGTTACTGGCAGCAGCTGCCCCAACACTGACCAACAGGTGACTCTGGGCAAACACAGCAAGACTGGCCTTACACTCAGACAACTTAGGTGAAAATATGTAAAAAGTTATCAGAAACATTCATTAACGCTAAATGTGCTAAGCCCGTAATTACATAATCTGACAAATCTGTTAACTAGTTATTGAGCATCTTTACGTTTTTCTTTTAGTTGTGAAGAGGAAGCTCAAAGTTTTGTCCTTTGAAAAATAACAGAAATTCTCTAGTCACCAAAACAAAATAAAGGGACAAATGAGAGGAAAAAAAGCATCCTTATCTGAAAACCAATTTGATAGCTTTTTACTTTTCAAAAACAGTTATAGACTAATACACAATTACAGAATTATATAGGACATGAGGACCAGGGATGTAGCTCAGTGGCACAAGTGCCTGCCTGGCGAAGGTAAAGTCTGCAGTTCAATCCCCAGTACAAAAAAAAAAAAAAAAAAATTGTATAGGACATGATACTTTCCATGATTTTTTTAATTTCAATAGTATAACACCAAGCACCTTTGACATGCCATTACATACCTATTTGATAAAATTCCATTTCCAAAATAAACCACTTTTTTCTCTCACCCTTTTTTTTTTAATTTGTTTGGCTGGTTGCTTTGGTTAGTTTTTGCGACAAAGTCTTTCTATACAGTGCAGTCCAGGCTGCCCTCATATTCTCCGTGTGCTATAGTTTGTGTCTGCATGTCCCCTCCACAGCCTCATGTGGTCACAGTGGTGGTGGGGGGTAGGTTTGGCTGAATCTAGAGTTTGTGACTGATTCATGGTGCAGTGCTGGGATTAAGGGTGTAAGTGCTACACCCGCCCTAGGGCTGGTAGCCTGCATACAATATAAGGGAGGGAAAGAGGCTTGTTCTCCCTCCCCATCTCCCCTCTCCCTTCTCCCTCTCCCGCCCCCTATGTCCCAGTCCTCTGCTTTTGCTGTCTTCTATTGCCCCAGCAACCATGATGTCATGCCCCTGTGCCCTGCCACCCTGCCTTGGAGCCAGCAGATTATGGACTGGAACCTCTACAAACTGTGAGCTAAATAAACCTTTCCTCCCTTAACTTTGGGTATCAGGTATTTTGTCTCAGCAACGAGAGAAAAGTAACTAAGACACTATGGAGTCCAGGCTGATCTTGAATTCACAGTCCTCCTGCCTCAGCCTCAGGAGTGCTGAGACTACTGATGTGCACCACCACACCTTGCTTCCTCTCTCTCATTTCAAGGAATTAAGGTGAATTTGCATTTTTAGTGTAATGTGTGCAGGCTGAAACTTGACTGTAGGAAGATATAAAACATGAAACAAGTAATGCTGTTCTAATTGTTAGGCTTAAGAAATCAGCTTCTGAGCTACATTAAAATGTTCTCGGATATCATCCAGTTGGTACAACTGTGTCCTTCACAGAAATACAATATGTAAAAGTTTTACTGGACAAAGATAAAACAGTGCTGGGTGTGGTGGTGCACACCCAAGGATCGAGTGAATTCAAGGCCAGCCTGAACTACATAATGAGATCCTGTTTCAAACAAACAAACAAAAAGATAAAATAGTAAGTGGCTTCCCTACTTGAAAAGACGTGCTTTGTTGTCATTATTGTTCTGAGCTTTTTAATTTAAATTTATTTTAACTGAGGCATAAAAATTATATGCATCAATGGGGTTATATGTGATGTTTCAATATATGTATGTAATGCATAATGTTTAAAGCAGGCTGAACATATCTATCTCTCCAAACACTTATCATTTCCTCGTTTTTGTTTGTTTGTTTGTTTGAGGCAGGATCTCACTATGCAGTTCACAGTGATCCTCCTGCCTCAGCCTCCCAAGTGCTGGGATTAAAGGCTTGTGCCACCACCCCGGTAATTCATGCTGAAAATATCCAAACTCCTTTCTTCTAGTTTTCTAGCATATACAGTTCATTGTCATTATTTATAGTCATCTTACTGAGAAAATAAACCAGAACTTCACATTCCTGTCTAACTGTAACTTAGCACCCACTCACCACCTCTTGTGACTCTCTCTTCCACACTGATAACCACAGCTTCTGGTGAGTACAGAGAGAGGCCATAATTTGAGCTCTCGCTCTGATTTCACTCCGTTTTGCCTGCTTGTTCTTAGAGAAGACACACTTTCCTAAGCCACAGGTTCTCCTGTGTTAATGTGGTTATAATAACAATACCTCATCTCCCAGGATCGTTTCACAGATGAAAAATAATTACAGACCTATACAAATCAGAAACTATGAAATAAGTCTGCAGATATGACCACAGTTTAGTCATACAGTTTCATCATATAAGAGCGTTAAAGAAAAGCTCATGAAGGAAATAATCGGCTGAAGCCTTTCATATAAAATGTAATTCTATTTTTAAAAATTCATTTTAGTAAACATCATACTTCCTCCCTACTATAAGAACCTGAAAGAGTAAATAAAATCTCAAAGGTACAACAGATACTGTAAAAGGGGAAAGAAACTGCTCAATAGGAAGGAGTAACTGGGATGAAGGAGGGGAGAGGAAAAAGAAGGGGAAAAAAAATGGATATATATACACAGGGTAGCTAGGATAACTGTACTACTAATATCTGTTGGTTTATCAAAAGGAACTGTTAATGTGTAATTGTTTTACCAATCTTACATGCCTATATCTGGTTATATGTGCAACCATTTTGAAGGTGACATCAGGTAATATAACAACCATTGTTAATATCCTATCATCATGTTTTGAAGTTCTGTATTACTGCTCTCTATGCTGTTTAGTTTATATATTTGTTTTTGTTACTTTGGTTTTTTTTAAACTGAAAACAAAATTTATACATATATACAGGGATAGCTGGAATAGGTATATTGCTGATATCTGTGGTTTATTGAAAGGAACAGTCAATGCTTAAAATTTTCCTTTTTTCTTGACCAATTTTGCATGCTTGAATTTGGTAATCAGAATGACTGATCTGAAAACAATATGCAGTATATGAGCCACTGCTGAACTCCTATGATCTTTTATGGTGAAGCTCTGCATCATTTTCAATTTTTTTTTAATTACTTGTTACTGTCTTTGATTGTTAGATCAGTCTTACATTCTTACATCTGGTGGACTGAGCACTTTTGTTGAAGATAACAGTATGCAATGTAGCAACCATTGTTAACTCCTATCATTTTGTTTTGAGGTCATGTATTCTTTTTGTTGTTTTTGTGTTGTTTCAATTTTGTCCTCATTGTTGCTTTGTTAGACTTTTTTAATTTTTAGAAATAAAAAAATTGTTTTTAAAAATTCATTTTAATTAAATCTACCTGGGAAATTTCCTAACACTGAAGTTCCTGAGTTATATAGAGATATGATCATGACTCTAGGGGTGAAAATGTAAGTTGTTGTAATGAAACCATAAAAATTAGATTTCTCTTCAAATGAATGATGGTTCATCCCCAAAGCTGTAACGATGAAAAGCTAACTGCTTATTAAAATAATCCTAATTTTGCACAAAATATCACTGATGACCTTTGGGAAAGGTCATCAGAACCAACTTCTATTAATAATCCTTCCTTTTTCCTTTTCCTAGGGAAAAGGAAAAAAATGATTGAAAAAAAGGATAAAATGGAAACAAAGCTTTGTAAATAAGGAGGGGAAGATGGGTTAAAGGTAAGAGAGAGGGGATTGGGAAAAAAAGAGAAAAAAATATGTCATATATGGGTACAAATTCCCTCTGATGAATATGATTATGTGTATCTAAAATGTACTAATAAACTTAATAACAATAATAATCCTTCCCCCTAATTCACCCACTGCTCACTTTTTAAGGCACTGACCTGCTCACAAAAATGTCAAGGAAATCAAGATGTGTACACCTGAGCAAAGCTCAACAGGGAGCTGAAACAAGTACTGACTTGGAAGCAAATGGACAAGCTGGAGTAGCCTTGTAAATAATCTGCTACTGCAGTCCATAGCGCCCCCTCAGGCTGGGAGACAGAGGGCCTAGCCAGTCCGCCACATGGAGCCTGAGCCTCACAAGGTCCTACCGCGCTCCCAGGTCAGCCCTGTGCTCTGGCTCCTCACCAATCTCTAAAGAGCAGCTGCAATTGGGTCTTTAGGACCCTCCAGTATTAACCACGTTCACCAGAGATAGGCCAGGGAATCAGCCTTGGAGCCAGTGAATGGATAAATGGATAAAGAAAATGTGGTTTATATATACACAACGGAGTGTTATTTGGTCATAAAGAAGAACAAACTTGACATTCTCAGGAAAACAGATGGCCCCAGAGTGTCATGCCATGTGCAAGAAGCCAGACTTAGAAAGACAAATAGCATGTGTGTTCTCTCAAGTGTGGAAAGAAAAAGAGAGAGATGGAGAGATGACATGATAGTAGGTAGGGGGACTCAGAGAGGAGGACGGGGTCACGCGGGGGAAGGGAAGAAAAGGGCAAAGGCAGGCGCTGAGATGATCTAAGCACGCCAGAATGAAACCCATCAATTTGTACAACCAACGGCATGAATAAGAGAATTCACACGAGTTATCAGATACAGAACACAAAATGACTATGTATTAATGATTAAAGAAACCCAAGGTCTTTTAAAAAGAAAAGAATATAAAGGGGGAAAAGAGCAAAAAAAGACAATCAAAAGGAAGATCTGAAAGTACAAAGGAGTTTTAGAAATTTACTTTTAAAATCTATTTACTTTTAGAAATTTATTTTAAACAAATGACCAGGCCAAATTTATCATAAGAGTCCAAGGTGGTTTAATACTAAAAAACCTATAGATTTAATTCCATATTATCAAAACAAAGTCTTAATTTTTTTAGATATTTGATAAAATTCAATGTTCATCTGTGAGTTCTTAAAAGCCCATATGTAAAAATAAAAGCAAATCAGAAACAGAAGGAAATTTCTTTTTTTGTTCATTTATTTACCTACTTATCTAAGTGGTGGAGCTTGAACTCGGGCCTCACACGTGCTAAGCATGTGTTCTACCACTGAGCTACAGCCCAGCCCCAGAAAGAAATGTCTTAGCTTGCTCAGTTCTATTTGTTATAAAACAAATGAAAGTTGTATATATTTTTAAAAATTCTAACAAACATTATTCTAAATGATGGAATAAAACAAGAATAACAGAGAGATACTGACTACTACTTCTCTTCAGCCCTATGCTAGTAATTCTGGGTCATGCAAGAATACAAGATATGAAACACAGGCTACACTGGGAGGAAAGGAAGAACTCAAGGAATTGCTCCCACTTCTTCATGCAGTTAGAGTTCAAAATTCTAATTTTAAAAAGTGATATCATTTACAATAATAACAACGGCTAAAGTATCCAAAAATAACTGACAAAGATGTATGTGACTTTAATGGAATAATAATAACATAAAAATGTCATTTCTTCTTAAATTGATCCATGTAATTTGTACATTTCCCATCAAAATCTCATTGGAGTTTTGAATTGGACAAGTAAATTCTAAAATTCATATGGGAGAATTAAAAAAAAGCTGAGATGTGCTACCAGAAGATGACCTCACCCTTTACAGAGCTACAATGATTTAAACAGTACAATATTCATTCAGACAAATCAATTAATCAACGGAACAGCGAGAACAGAAACTTATACACAGTTAGTACCTTGCACCACTGAGAAATGGGAGAACCATATACTACATTGTGCTGTGATGGTAACTACTCATATTAAAACAAGAAAAAAAGGAGGTTGAATTCTTTGTCAAAAAAGTCAATTACAATGCGTTAATACTTGAATGAGAAAAGCTGTTGGGGAAAACAGAATATATTTACTACCTTACAAAAAGGTTTTATCAACAAAAAGGTTTTATCAACAGAAAAATAAATCACAAAGCAATTAAATTTAACTATATTACAAAACCACCATAAAGATGGTGAAAGGTCAGGTTACAAGTCAAGAGAGGTTCTCCAGAAACCAAAACATTATTATCCAGAATCTATGAATCAATTTTTTAAAAGACCATCCTACTGAAAATGGATAAAAAATAGATTATACATTCCACAAAGTAGAAAGCACCAAAAGCAATAAAATATTTGAAAAAATAGTCTTATATTCACATAGCAATAGAGTACAGTAGCATAAAGTAAGAAAGAATTCAAAAGCATAAATTAAAAATGCATAAATAAATTGTGGCATACACATATAATAGGTGACTATACACAACTACATGCAAAAATATTTATGATTCTTACAAACATAGCACACATTTTTTAAAACAACAGAAGACAATGTAGAGTATGATTTCTTTGTGATGACATCACACAGAAAAATAAGCACATGTGAAAAATTTTAAGGAAACATGAAAAATATAGTAAAAATATATTTAAAATGAGAAAGACTCATAAATCAACATGACGGAGAGTGTTAATCTTCATACATAAAGGACAGGAAGGAGCATTCCCAGCCCTGGCCAAAAACCAATATTAAAGTTAGGTGCTGAATTCTTTGCTTTCTGCGTCACATTTTCTACATAAATTACACTTGTTCTTTTTTAGGTATCAACTGTTACACAATTACATTTTAAGTACAGACTAACAATAAAACATTCTTTCAGAATCACTTCTTCCCCTCAAAATAAGATTAAGACCTCTCTCCCATTCCACAGATCTATTGTTAGTACTTCTTTTAAAAAGTGAATCTATGTGTGACAAAACAGTTCGCTGCTTTAAAGTGACTCCATCCGATCCATTCACATCAATATTCTACTTACTCATAAACATGCAATACAGACATGCTACATAGACCCACCTCGTGTAGACTGTGACAATAAATTAAGTCATAACTCACCTAATGTAACCCTATGGAGCAAGCAACAACTCACTTCTTGAATTTTTTCATTGACAGGGAATGTTTTCATGGCTTCTACAACAATATTATAACATCTGACATTGCCACTCATGAGGACTTCAACGTTATTGCCTAAATGTAAAGAAATCACAATTATGATAAGGCAAGAATTTTCTCCTTTCAAACATCCACATATAGCTACCTTATATAGATTGTCAAAATATAGCAGCATAGTCTCTACATTTCCAAACTTAAATATGTTCTATCAAATAACTATGAAAATACTACGCTATCCACTGCTAATACAGCTCATCCTTGGCATTAAGGAAAAATTTCTTTAAATCTTGTTTCTTGGCTTAAAATTCTAAGATAAAGAAAATCTGGCTATTTAGAAGTCTAAAAATGGCTATGTCTTTTAAAAACATAAATAACTATAAAGTGTTTTTGAAAAACAAATTTGAAGGTCTGTTTCCTAAGAGGCCATTGAATGAGGACTTGGGCACTGGTTCTTTTCTTTACACCCCAGGGAAAGTCACATAATGGGACTGCTAAAATCAGCGAAGATCTACTTCCTCCATCCCAAAAGAACAGCTGTGTAGGAGGCAGGAAAACTGAGCTTCCTGAAGGTGTCTGGGTAGAGGCAGGAGGCACTAGGGAGGGAGAAGGGAATTGCAGAATTAAATACAGGACTGAGGGGCAAATGTCAGTGAAACAGAACAGAAGGCACCCACTGGAACAACTTGGTAAAGAGTGAGCTGTGAATCTACATGGAGAAACTGCGTCCCTGAAAAAGAAAAACTCGGTCTGCAAGCCATTTGTCTTTCCTTCTTTTTCCCCTAGCATAGCTGAAACAAACCGTTTTCCCAAAAATATACTTTAATGTTTGGATTGTATTTTATAACACAAATTTTAAAAAACTTAACAACGAAAGGAGACAGTCTCTTAAAACAGTCATCTGCCTTGCCGCAGAAGTGAGGCATGTTTGTGCTAAGATTGAAAGGCGAGTCTTCAAGTTAGAGCCAGGGTTTAAAACTCTGCATTTCTTCATCTTTAACTGCAGCTTTCTTTGACCGTTGTATTATGAATCAACACATTTTAACTGGAGTTATGTCTTATGTGGGTGGAAAACAATGAATTCCAAAAGCAGCTGGCCCCAAATAAGCAAATAGTGAATACATATAACCCAGGAAAGTACAATCATGAATATATTCAGAAGAACATATTCCAAAGAATATATACAGAAGTAAGGTCACTATTATTATTCAGCCTCATCCACATTCAAGTCTTTAACTTCCTGTGCGTAAGTAAACCTTACAATTTTATAAACACCACAAAGACATTCTTTCCCAAGGGCACTTAGTTTTGAGCCTGCTGCAGTTGAAGCCCGGAATGTTCAGACTGCTGTACTGATTCCCATATCTGAAACTAAATAAACATAAACACATGCCTCGCATATAAGCACATTGAGTCCTAGGGCTGCGAGTGATTTTAGAACACATGGTCTACACCAGGTACACTTTTATTATTATTTCACTCACTTCATCCTTAAGACAATTTAACATGTATGAGGATGAAAGCGTTACTGGTCAAATGCATATGTACATCCTGTCCAAATCCACACACGGAATATGTGAAATATGAAACATTATTGTGCACTCAAAAAACAGAATCTGAAGCATACTTAGTCCATTAGTAAGGACTGGTAGTGTACCCTGAAAACTAACTTCTTCTGTTTGTACTTTTAAGTGAAGAAAAAAAAAAGGCTAGATTTCAAAGCGTCCCTAAAACACTCACCAAGAATCACACTGCACATCGAACTCTTCCCTGAGACTTTCCAGGCTTTTTCTGACCTCACTGCTTCCTTCGCCTCAGACTCCAACACCCACCAAGCCCTCCTGCTGCCAACATGAGTGAAACTAAGGCAGATGCTGGGGATGTTCAGGCACAGATGCACACACGTGTGCACAGGCGCGTGCTCTTAAACCACAGCTTTCCGGGCTACTTCTGTTCTTTTCAATGCACTTGGCTCTCTCTTGCTCCAGCAGCTCTGCACGTACAATGGACACACTGCAGGCATCTCCATTCTGTCTCACGCACCCCCACACAACGCTGTCCTGTCACTCAGGCCTCTGCCAGGGGATCTCGCCTCCTGTCCCTTCTCAGAACTCCAGGTCTATGGGCAGTCAGTCACTTGCCTTTTGCCTTCAGCGCATCACAATCACTTAGGTATTTACCTGCACCTTCCACTGTGCCAAGATCTCTAAAAAGGCAAGGAACACGCTCCTATTTTCCACTCTTGACTCCCCAGCACCAAGCCCAGAGCCAGCTGCAATACAGTCTCAATAAACATAAACTAATTAAATTAACAAGTGAATTTAGCATCTGCAAGTCTCTACAAAACTATTCTCAACACAGGCTCAGGAAGGAGCTATATTGTAATTTCTCACATGCAGAAAGAGATCATGGACACAGGCCACTTACAGGGAATCGCTAGGGAATGCAAACAGTGCAGGACATGCAGCACAATTTCCTCTTCATCTTTAAAAGTGTGTAATGCTCTCAACAGTATCGTATAATCTTTGTTCTCAACAAATTCAGTCAGCTGTTCCTCCGAAACTAAAACATGAAAGAAAAAACATCGTGTAAGTTTAAACAATTATGTAAACCTTACTCAAAAGTAGATTCGTGAGAGTTGTATGAGAAAGAGCAAATGCAATATCCTCAAATAGAGGTATGTTTCTGTAAAAAGTCCTTCCTAAGAATTTTATACTGGGAAAACAAGCTATTGGTTTGAAAATAATTTTGTTATTGCCTTACATTAATTGTATTTTGAAATGCAAAGGTTCCAGTTACCAAACATTCTCAGAAAAACATAATTATTTACCAGAGAAAACTAGCCAGTGCTAATATTCATGGCCTACCGGAAATGAGAATTTCATAATACTTAAAGGGGCAAACGGTAGACTTGTAGGGCAGCGCAGCTGACTGTGTCACCTTAAAGGTTATGATCTTTAGCAAATGACAAGTAATTAGAGTTGGAAACGCTGCCTTAATGGTTTTCTAAAAAAAAAAAATTGTCATCATTAATTTTCGCAATTACAGTTTTTTGATCAAGTCAGTGAGTTCCACTTGGAATTTATTTCATTACATGACAACCTCAAAAATATGTATAAAAAGTCCAGTTTACTTAGCTTGAAAATGGTGCCAACCAAATTGTTAGAAAATGCAGCCTTTTTTTGTGATCAAGATTAATTTTATAAATTTTATACTAATGTGTCCATATAATGCAATGTGAAATTGGTTAGATTCTTTTAATTATTGACAGAAACTATGGAACTATATCATAGTAGTTTCCACAGCATATTTTCAATTTTTGACATTAATTTGATTAAATAACATTTTAAAAATTACCTTTATTAGTAGTGCGTCTCCCAGAAAAACCAGAAAATTTTCTTCTTTACATTAATAATCTAATACTCTCCACACCTCTGCACTGATGACCTTTCTACTAAGTTTTTGAGGGGGTTTTTGTTGTTGCTGTTACTGGGGATTAAACCCATGGCCTTCACACCTTCAGCTGTGAAGCTGCGCTACAACCCAGCTTTTTTTAAATTTTTTTTTTTGAAACGAGCTCTCCCTACATTACTGAGTCGCTTAGGCTGAGCTCAAACTTGTGACCCTCCTGTTGCAGCCCCCCAGAGAGCCAGGATTACAGGCATGCAGCTCCACACCTCAACTAAGATTCTTCTTTGTACCCTGCTCTGGTCTGTCTCCATAGGTTCTGGATGGGCACCACAAGGCTGGTGAGAGTAGTGACGGCCCTTCTTCATGAATAAGAACGCGCCCCTAAAATACAGCACTGAAAATTACAGGCCCTTCAAGACAGCAGACCTTGAACTTTATCCTGTCCAATTCTTATCAAATGTTCAGCTGCAAGATACATTTCCAGAAACTAGTCTTGGAAGACCTGAAGGTCTTGCATCCTTGCTCATGGTAAACTATCTTCTCTACTAAGCACCTTCACTGCAGGGCTGGGCCCCAGGCACATGATGTTCCAACTATTAAGAGTCACTTTCACTAAATACACTTGTACTCCTTATGAAATGTGTGTACTTCTTGTCTCATCGGGAAACCCTGGGAGGACTTTCTCAGGTCTCCCACAAGTCAGATGGCTTCTCTTGAGTTTACTTTTATCTCAGAAAGCTTTATAACTAACAATGTTTATCTGTTCCCGAAGAGCCAAGTTTCTGGCCCATCCCCTTGCAACTATACAGAAGGTTAAATAAATATTGTAAGCTTCACCTAGCTTTCTTATTTCCCTTTATCCACTTTCCCATCCAGTTTTCTCTGATGTATATTCCTTCTGGAATCCTGCAGGGTATTAAACCATATCAGGTGCTCTCTCCCCTTTCTGGAGCTGCCAGAAGTTAGTGGTAAATCAATACTGACAACAGAGTTTGCGTAAGCCATTCCTATTCAGAGCTCCAGTACAGTTTTTCCCATAATGATGAAAAGGGACTCCCAAAACCAGTACTGTAACCAGCCACACGCCCGCGGGCGGACTGCTCACTTCTCTGACTCACTTCCTCATCAAGCCAGTTCGAGGACTGCAACAGATTCCAACCAACTCTAAAATAACACAGGAATCACTGTTATCAATCTTAGTGCAGTGCTGTGACATACATGTAAGTCTCTTTCCTAAGGGAAACTTTGTAAGCCTCCTGGATCTTCATACAGAGCTAAAAGCATTCCTCAAAATCTCCAGCGATGTCTCAATACCATAAACCCACACTTCACCTATGCTTGGCTTCACAGTTTTATTTTTCCTTTCTGAATACCCACACAATCTGGTTTTCAAAGGGAATCTTATGCCTTGCAAAGCAGTGAAAGAGATGCTACTACAATTGCATGATTTACACCCCAAGAATGAAATTCACTCCATAGGAACAAGCAAGATTTCTGAACTCACCCCATTTTTTACCTCTGACACACAACTCTCACTTATTCACAAACAGTATGATTTTAGATACCTTTTTCTTACCACAATTATGTCCCACATTTTTCATTAGTATATATTTATCAAAATAAACATTTGACAGATTTTTAGTACCGCTTTCAAACAGCACATGTAAAGTTTTGCATCCCAGTTTCTGGACTTCATCATTGCTTGAAAATGTGTTCATGGCATCAAAAATTAACAAGAAAATATCACTTTCTTCATCCAGTATCAGTAACGTGAATTTTCCTATTATGAAGAGAAGAAAACGTCCTCAGTAAATAGCTGCTATAACACTTGGGGCATTCATTTTTATATAATGACTATAAATGACTCATGCATTTTAATTTTTGATAGGCCACTAAATTTTCCAAACGCTAATGCTGTCAAACTCCAGGGTGCTTCTAAGTGAGGAAATATGCCAATTCAGTTTATTATCATTCTGATTCCCAGGAAACACACATAACCTACCCTTCTTGCCCTAAACTCCTAAAAGAAACCTCTACCTGTATTTTAAACAAGACCCTCTGAATCTGATCCCCAAACCTAGACGACCATCGCTGTCTTCATAGGTAACACCATCATCCAAGAGATTCTCAGAAAGAAACTACCAAGTTATCTTCCTTCTTCCATCTCCCCCATCTCTTCTGTTCTCTACTTAACCAACAAATCAACTCATTACCAAGTCCTTCAAGAGTCATCTCCTGCGTACCTCAAAAATACTTTTTCTAACAAGGTCCTTCCATGCCTATAATGTTCAGGACCCTAACATATGTCACCTACAATGCAGACAACTACCTTAGCTTCTCTGCTTCACACGAATCTCTACCTGGCCAGTTTATTCCCCACATTCTACCTTTAAAGTACAAATGTGATCCTATAATGCCCTTGCTGCTATCTCCTGAGGCCTTCTCTTTCTCCTTAGTGTGATAAACACAATCCTTCACAAACTGACCACATGGATCTCATCAGCACCACATCCTTCCACATTGGCTTCCACTCCAAAAGGTAAACTCCTGCTCACCCCCTGTAATGGTTGATACATTGCATCAACTTGAGGACTGAGAAGTTTAAAAGCTTAATAGGGGACTCAGCAGGGGGCCAGGTTCCTCACTTGGTAAACCTGCTGAGCTTGTAGAAGAGGAGCGTGCAGAGAGAGCCTAGGCAGATAGCCTGCGTACAATATAAGGGAGGAAAAGAGGCTTGTTCTCCCGTTTTGCTCCTGCTGCTTTTGCTGTCTGATGCTGCCTTGAACTGTTGCCCCTGTGCCCTGCCACCCTGCCGTGGAGCCAGCTGATTATGGACTGAAACCTCCACAAACCGTGAGCTAAATAAACCTTCCCTTACTTAATCTGGGGTGTCGGGTATTTTGTCCCAGCAATGAGAAAAAAGTAACTAAGACACCACCAAACCTTTTTAAACACTCCTTTCCGCTTGCCCTTTTCTTTACCTAACAAACTCCAGCCATAATTTGAGAAGCAATGCCTATTCTGTCCATAAAAATGAGAGTGCTGGAACAGAAGTAAGGGTCATAAACACTCTTCGAGCACTACTGAGGCAGTCACGGGTTGAAGCACTCCACTAGCCCACATTTAATCACAGCCGCATCCTGTGAGGTGTGTGCAGCCCATTTCAGCAATCAAAAGACTGAGGCACTGAAAGGTGAGCTTTGCTAACAGCTAATCAGAGGCAGCACTGGAGTACAGTATAGGCAGGACACGTCCTACATGTCTTCTCTATGGCGGTAGTCTTCCTATGTCCTTTTCTTATTAAATTTCAATTATTATTCCTCTAAAAGCTTCAGTCCATCTAGGTGCCTGTGCTGTCCCCGAAGTGTCCAGACTCAAATTTAACTTCATTAAAATTAAATAAATTTAAATGAAGGTTCTCATATTTCAGATCTTCAAAAGCGATATAGACCTGTAAAGTACGGTACTGCATGAGCCACATACAGAACACTGTTATCACTGGAAAAAGTTACACTGAACAGCAGAACCAGTACTCTACAGAACCAAGTGCCTGCAGGCAAACTGCTCACTGCCCTGACCCATTTCCTCACCAAGCTGGGTAGAACTGCTACATGGTAAGAATTCTGCCTCCTCTGTCTTAGAATTCCCAGCACCCAGGAGAACAGTAAATGCCCAGTAACTACTAAATCAATTTTTAATAGCCAAACAATAAAGATGATTCACAAGGGGATGGGGATTTAGCTCAGCGGCAAAAGCGCCTGCCTGGCAAGCGCAAGGTCGTGAGTGCGGTTCCTGGTACCAGAGAAAAATCAAAAAAAAAAAAAAAAAAAGATGATTCACAAATCATCTTTAAAACATGTGTAAAACTTTCCTAATGGGTCAAACTTCACAATGCAATGAGGGAGAAATTAACTCATATTTTCAAAACACACATCACATCTCCTGGCTGTCTGCACGTTTGTGACTTCTATACATTCCAGTGGTGTGAGATGCTTTTCAAGTTTATGGATCTTTATCTTCCTGCCCATCGCCAGATGGAGAATGAAGACAAAGAAAAGGGAGGAGACGAAGCCCCCAAGCATAAGGATTTAAAATAAATCACAGTGAAAATGGTTAGCAGATAAGGTTATTTTAATAAAAGTCTGTGGCGAGACCGCAGGTATCATCCAGCTTTGCCTCTCTCCTTTCAGACCCTGGTCTTCACCTTCTTCTGTCTTTCTCTCCTAACAGTCTTCCTTCACAGAGCCAGGAGGACATCAGCCTCCCCGCCGCAGGTCCAGCCTCTCCTGCGGCCTCCGCCTACGAAGTTCTCTTGACTCCAGCTCCCGTCCCTTACACAATGCAGACCCCTCCCAGTCCTTCCCAGTGAGGTCCCCAAGGAGCAGAACCTTTCTTCTCCGAACCTCTGGGACCTCAAGAGGCCCCCCCTAGGGGTGGCCACAGCCTGTGCACCCCAGCAGTATTCTTTACTGAGGTCCTCTATCCTCCAGGCAGAAGTTTCCCTGGGCAAAGAAGCTGGCGCGTGCAATGAGACCCCGGCTGTACCAGTTAGCAGCTAAAGCAACTCCTCTCTGCATGAGTGTTTCTCTTCTAAAAAACTGAAATTAAAATGCACATCTCCAAGGGAGGTGGGAGGATTAGGTATTAAAGAGCATGTGAAGCTTTTCACTTGTGAATTCTGACATCTAGCAAGCAGTCAGGAAGTAGCACTATCTACTTTTTAAAATATTGCTACTATAGCGTATCCTAGAACTTATCTTACAGAAAACTTACGAAAGATATACATGGAGAAAGACATAGTGATGGTAGGAGCATGGCTGACCACCAAGCTAGTAGGAAAGGAAACATGGGACCACATTTTGGGAGCAAAGCTGGAGCTAGGAATAAAGATTTAGGAGTAATTTGTAAGGTAATATATAAAGCCAAGATATCGGTCTGGTGTGGTGACACACATTTGTAGCTCCCAACACTCTGGAGGCAGAGGCAGGAGGATCACCATGAGTTCAAGGCCAGCCTGGGCTATACAGTAACTTCAATGCCAGCATGAACTATATAATGAGACCCTGTCTTGAGAAAATAATAATAATAAAATAAAACTAAGATATTGGGTGAGAACTTTGAGAGATAATGTATAGAAAAAAGAGATGAGAGAAGATAGAAACAAAACAATTTTTGTAACTCACTGATATTTAGCGTGTGTTATGCTATGATTCTAATAAAATTAAAACACATTCAATAAATTTTAACTATTTTTAGTTAAGTCAACATTAAAAATATGTAAGTGCATTACCTGCAGTTAGGAGGAGATCTAAGGCCTTCAATCCAACTGTTGACAGGTTTACATTGGCATGATGAGCTGTGAGCATTTTAAGAATCAGTCTGGAGTGAGAGTCAGAGATCAGAAAAGGATAAAGGTTATACTCAAGGTTTTACAATACCTGTGATACTTACATACTACCTTTCAGTCACTTCTACTCTTATTATTTTCATTGTATTTATTTCTCTATAGTGAAGCACATGTGTTTTCATCTTCCTAAAAACCTGAACCTGGCTTATACAAACTGATGGGCTGGCTGGGATGTGGCTCAGTGGTACAGCACTTGCTGAGCATGGGGCCTTGGGTTCAATCCCCAGCGCCAGAGAGAGGAGGGACGAAGGGAGGGAGGGAGCGACAGAGACAGAGAGACAGAATATTAATTGCTTTGGTTATAGACAATATTTCACATGTATATCATATCATCGACTTGTACACCATATATATATACACAAACACATATATAGACATACATATATATGCACACTATTTTTAATTCTCAACTGTATTTCAATAAAGTAGGGAATAAAACAGCAAGAAGAAACAGATTAGGGGTATAGCTCAGGGTTAAAGTGCTTGTCGGCTTGTCTCATATATGTAAGACCCTGGGTACAATCCCACCAATGGAAAAAGAAAAAGAAGAAACACATTTAAAAAAAAAAAAACTTGAGTCAGAATTATTTTGAGTCTCAGTAGGAATGTTATAAATACTGTTTCTTTTCTTCTAAATATTCATAGTCAGTTACTATTTTCACCCAACTGCATACACAAAGTATCATGAAGAGTTAATACAGAGTAAGTTCATTGTTGTATGTGATGTACACTTACAAATTATACACATGTATGTTGAAATATTAACATACAGAAATATCTAATAAGAATGTTAGTTTGTGCAAATGAATTTAAATATTTAAGTTATTGGTTTTTACTATTTTGCAAGAGAAAATAATATTTTACATTAAATAAAGAACCAAGCACATCATAGTATTTGATTAGTTAAAATTCCTGAAACTTGCATGCCTGTTTTATCAGCCCCGGAATGTAATCTTTAGTATTTCCTGCCCAGTGAGGTTTGGCTTTACATTGTTGGAGATGATAGAGCTGGTGACGCCCACAGCTTTGTCTAAACTCCAGAAATCTGTTATAGGGCCTGTGGTTGGCAAGGAAAGAAATAGAGATCCCTTCCCTTTATGTCCGGTCAATGGTGAGAATCCTCACCATTCTCTTTTTTTTTTTTTTTTTTTTTTTTTTTTTCTCCGGTACCGGGAACCGAACTCACGACCTTGCGCTTGCCAGGCAGGCACTTTTGCCGCTGAGCTAAATCCCCAGCCCCTACCTCACCATTCTCGACAACGCCGCCAGGAAGAAATTTCTTTTTTAGTACTGCAAATCTTCAGAGGGAAAAGGGCCTCGAGCACAGGGAAATACCTTCCACAGTAAATGTCTGCTGGGCCTGCTGCCCTGGAGACAGCCTGGAGTCCGCTCTGTTCACAATTCTGTTGCTTCTGGCTCAGAGTACGAGCACAGTACAGAATTAATGGATGGAAGGCGAACAAATGAATGGAAGAGTGAGGGAATGAAGAATATTTCCTGTAGAAATATTTGTTATTAACGTAAACAGCCGTTTGCACTGGACTATGACTCAAACGAATGTTCCAGCACTCTGCAAAGTTACAGATTGACTAACCGTTGGGAATCTTGTAAATTTTCAAACAAAGCAAGAGACATGTCAGGTTACCCTTACTAATTACAGACATGCCATATTTGGGGTAATTCCTAACTAAACGTGATAGACCCAACTCCAGAATTTCAGAGATACAGGTAAAGATGAGAACATAGATTAATTATAACTACGCTTTTTTCAAAACGACCTTGTGACAGCAGAAACTAGAGAACAGCAACACAGGTATCAAAACTGGAAACATGAAGGAGTACTAAGCACTGAGGTGTAGTTTTAGAGAGCAGACCAGAACTATCGAAGCCAAAATGGCTCTATTCACATCTTAATGTTTATGTATGAAATATACTCATCTATGAAAAATACAGAGCTCTGGGCTGGGGATATAGCTCAGTGGCATAAGCGCCTGCCTGGCAAGCACAAGGTTGTAAGTTCAATCCCCGGTACCGCAAAAAAAAAAAAAAAAAGAAAGAAAGAAAGAAAAAAAGGAAAAATACAGAGCTCTCCGTTTTTCTAAATCTGCAGCCATCATTGATACTAATAAACGACACCAAGGTGTAAACTTTAGTTTTGCATCAACTGTATTTTTCTCAAGCAATATACCATTAGAAACAAACTGTATTCAAAAATCACATTCCCTGTAGTAAAAGAAAGTGATATTAGGTACTGAGAACATTTAAAGTTAATGGCAGGAGATAACTTCTTAAATGTCAAAGGATTAACTTATAAAAAGGAATCTCCTTGAAACACATTTTTTTTTTCCCTCAGAAAACCCTCTCAACTAATTATGAATAAAAAGTTATCTCATTTAAAAAGTCATTATGCTGCAAATTGCAAAAAAAACAGTAGCCAGGAAAATAGCTGTCAAGCTTTGGCTACAGATGTGCCAAAAGGTACTTTCCTCTTTTTCTCTTCTTTTTGAAAGCCATAGTCTAAACTCACTAAATATACATGTATGAATATACGTAAGTATGCCAACTAAAGATGGGGAAGCATGAACTTCTAAATTACTACTTATAGAATTAAATGTACAGTTCTTATATTTCAAGAACTAGTAATTTGTATTGGTTCTACTACTGAAAAGCAAAAAACAATTAAACCTTTAAAAAAACTCTTCTTGGTTTGAATCCGTAAGCAGTCATCAAAAATCTACAAATTAGCCAATTATATAATTGTAGGATTACATTATTAAAAGAATATCACCTGACATTTTACCACCAATGTTAGTTTTCCAATTCAAACTTCTGAGTTTAAAGCTCCCTAAAAATGCAGACTACTGATCCAAGGAAAAACAATATCTGTATTTGGAAAGAATTTGCCTGGGTTGGAAATAGAATATAAAAGGGGAAAGGCCATCATACGTGTAGATATTCAACGTAATTTGTTTTTACTTGTCTGCCATACTTACTGGTGTACACCGAGGACTTCCCAATCATTTCCAATATCCTGGGGGCCCATTAAGCTTTGCATTGTACCTGGACAGACCTCTATTAATTTGCACAGAAGTGACCAACCCACCTAGAAGCAAGAAAGGCAAATATTCATATTTAAAGGATGTTATTGGAACATATTCATTCAAACATGATCACTTCCTTCTTAGAATATAATTTTAAATCATTGTTTTAAAATAACAATGCTCTAACATACTTACTGAGATTCAAAAACAAACAATATTCTTGGAATCCATATTTACCTAAAAACATACCAGAAGGGCATACAAAAAAAATAACATTTCCAATTAATGAAGAAGATATATATATCTATTATCTAAATAAAACTAAACTACAAAAATTGTTTCGGAGGCCAAACTAAAATTATTAACTACTCCCATCTTAGTACCTTTTAAACACACATCTACCAGAATGTCTTCCAAGTATTTAGTATTTTAATGATAGGGAAAAAAATGTAATCTGCAATGCAGAATTAGGAAAAAGTTGGAGATTTTAGTGGCAATGCATAAATTATCAGAAATGACTGCTCCTCAAATTATGGGGCTAGACTAACACTAGCAAAAGAAATAGCACTGTACTCTGGCTGAATCTACCCTGTTACAGGAAGAAAAGAGTGGGCAATATAATACACAGAGGAAGTAGAATTCCCCACAGAGGAAGTAGAATTCCCCCCTTTACATTCCTCTACAGTGTCTGACTTTGAACCAATGAGGTCTAGAAATTACAAATGTCCTTAGGTTCTTTCACATTTCCAAGTGAAAAATAGACTAATTGGTACATTCCAAGATTGACTAATCTTGAAAAATAGACTAATTGGTACATTCCAAGATTGGTACACTCTTCACTCAGTCCATTTACACAGGATGCCAACTTGAAAAAGTGGTTCTCTACTCTGAAAAAAATAAAACAAAATAAGGTCCTGACTCCAAACCAGAGATTAAATTCAACCCAGTCTTCTTACCGTATAAAGTATCAATAAATTTAAAGTATCTTCAATTCTTGATATCAGAGGACCATATCTGAAATGGTCAGGAAAATAACAAACAAACAAAAAAACAGAAAATGCTTACAAATGCAGCCTCTATGAGTAATGAAAAAGTGCGTAAGTATGCTATGTGGTAAACACCAAGATAATATAAATCTTAAAAGCAAGACCTGCCGGGAGTTACACATGGAAAGATACAATACAGGAGAGGTAGGACTTGACTCAGATCGCAAAAGAACCTTCTACCACTGATCAGTTGTGAGGAAAGTGCTAATTCGTAAAAGAGTGCGAGAAGGAAGGAAATGGCTGATGGGTGAGATGCGACTCATATTTAAAAAAGAGAAAGACTAGATACACAAGCAGAGCTGAACGACACAGAGCTGAACGACAGGGCAATGAATTCATGTGCATTCAGCAAGAAATAAACAAGAATGATTAAACAAGAAGTACTTCATCAATGACATCTCCTTACAATATTACTTATAATGGGATGTTTTTCAAATGAAGGGTTATTTTTCAAATTCAACGTGAACTGCTTTACTTTGTCACTACTTCCTTTTGTGTAAGTCCAAATTAGTGTAAAAGGCAGCAATTTCTAACAGCTATTTTTACATATATTTAACTAGGGCATCCTCCCCCAAAGAAGCTGTCATAGAAACCAGCTATTTTTGAGCTTTCATAAAATACATTGAGACTCTCCCTCCACCACACCCCCTGTATTTAAGAAAATAACATTCTGAAGAGCTTTCGGTAGTGGGAGAAAAAATCACATAGGACGCTAACCCCATGTCTGTACCTGTGCGGCTGACGCAAGGAGAAAATCTGCTTTGTTTGGGTTGGTAAAGCGGCAGCACCAATGACTGCTTTGCAAACAGATTCAAGCAACTGAGCCTGCGGCCACTATGAGGAGTTTCCATGATTAAATAGAACTGTAGCAGCGCAGCACGGCTCACCATGGTTCCATGAATCTACTCCATTGAAAACTTATCTTTCAAAGCCGTTTCTTCAGCCTGCACAGCGCACGTATAACTGGTAGCCTTACTTCATTATAATTTTCCTATAAACTCAAGCATCTCACACACATGAAAGAGTCAAGGGACCAAAGCAAATGCAGCCACCTTCAGTTATTTTGCTGTCCTTCGAAGACTGAAGCTGTGTGGGTAAAAGTAAAACCCTGAGGGACAGAAAATGATTGGCGAGAAGCAAAAAGTAAACAGTAGCTAGTATAACAACTCTCTGAAGGTTGTCACTTACTAAGAAGCATTAAGAAAATATAAAAATAGTTTGAAAAGAAAAACTCACACTCTGGAAATATCATGTTTGACCACTTCTGGGAACAGACCTTAATATTTATTTCTGAAAAGTAATTCACCTTAACTCCTCATATGCATCAAGAGTTTTTAACTGGGCACATGAACCATTAAAGAAGAACCATACTAATTACTGTACTCACTGAAGAAATGTAAAGGAAAACATTACTTTCAAATGGACTTTCAAACTATCAGTAGAAAGAGATCCTTTTCTACATCCCATTGGTAAGACCAAAGATAATTAAAATTGCCAGGGTAACCATAGTATTTCTATAAAACCACTGTACTTCTTACGTTCATATGTAAAAACCCTGTGAATTCAGCAGTGATGGTCTGTATGATGGAAAGGCATTTTGAAGGTGTGAGAAGACTTGAGTCCTGGCTATTACAAGCTCTCTGAGCCTCAAAAAAAAACCTACCTACTGCGCCACTATCTGGGTAAAATATCTGATAAGACTTCTATAAGGGCAACGTGATTCCAGTGAGAATCAAATGGTATCGACACATACAATTTGCAGATATACACATGTATGATGCTGAAATTAATACATTCATTTCATTAAATTACCAAGCAAAAAGACGCTTCCTTATTTTCTAGCATATTTTGTCTCTGATCTGCTCTGAGCGATGAGTGACATTTATAACTACTCCAGACAAATTCAGTGCCTAGGCTTGACAAGTTTCTAAAATTTAGGAAGTATGGGAGAGGGGACACAGCTCAGTAGTAGAATGCCTGCTTAGCATGTGCGAGGCCCAGGGTTCAACGCCCAGCACTGAAAATGTAAAGAGTGAATATGCTCCAGGCTCCCCTTGGGTTCTCGAGTCCGGCACTGTGTCCTTTGGATTCTGCAGGTCAACGCCTTCCCAGGGCCCGACTGTCCTGACCAGTACCAAGAGAGCAGGCCCACTGGGTCAAGGGCACAGCCTTGGAATGGAGACACTTTGGAACACAGCTCAGAGGTGAGGAAGAAGGAGGATGTTGGTGGAAAGTGATTCCGATTCAATGGGCAACTTTCTCACACTGAGTGCTAAAAGGAACAGTGCTTTTATCATTTCTCTCTCTTTCTTGATTTTGTTCGTAAGCAGCCTAAAAATCTATAGTTGAATGAGAAATGTTTCACTGTGGAAGAAAAACAAATATATTTATTCCACATATAAAAGTCCTGACCTGAAGGAAGCAAGATAACATTCACCAACACTAGATATAGCTAGATACAGAGATACCATGAAAATAAAAAGATGGGCAGCAACTTTGAGATCAAGATACTCTTACCTCTGTCTAGCCTCTTGAATATTAAGAAACATTGGTTAAAAAAGAAAGAAAGAAAGAACCATTAACCTTCTGACTACCTCCCCATGGAGTTCAAATCCCAATCTCTCCCCTGAGTGCTTGGCATACAGATGATAAAGCTGATTTCAGTTCCCCAAATCTCAAAGTGCTCTGAAGGAAGTGATCACCTTAGGAAGAAATTTTCCCTTGACTTTAAATCATCCTGAATTACCATCTTGGGGCTGCTTTTTTAATCTAACCACAGTACTTCACATATTTCTGGATTTCCTATGGATTTCCACTTTTATATCCCTATGACACAGTGGCAAAGTAAACATTTAAACCCAAGGGGAACCATAAAACACTCTTTTTAGATTATACCACAAGGTATAATATAACTGAACAAGATTAGAATCTGTCTTCACACAACGAAGCTGAAATCTAGGAGAGTTTGCCAGTTCCTTAATTGTGTTTTATTACTGTTAATTATTCCCCTTCCCAAACGATTCACAATATCTAGGCCACGCTGCACATTGGGAGGATTCTTAGAATAGCTGGCTCTAAACACTAATGAACTCATCCTGCCAATAACAGAAGTAAACCTCAGTCTATTTTTATTCTGCTGCCGCCACTATCCACATTCTCAGTAAGTTTTACGCAGTGACTTCTAAAGACGAGGCACCGCGTAGTGGGCCCTTCTACTCTGTGAACACTGCCTCATGATGTGAGAAGGTTTCCATCCTAAATCCTCAGTCAGGGGACGGTCAAACCAAATCTCAAGAAAAAATCCAGCCACTCTGAGCGTATCTGCAGGGCCGGCTCGTCTTCCTTCCCAAACAGAAGGGGAAATGCGTGCAGCGAAAACTGCTCCTTTACCTGCTGTACACTCGCCACTCTCAGATAGGAGTCCAGGACGATCAGCAGAGGCACGTGGAAATTTTTGCCTTGAAACAACTTGGAGGCTGGAAAACAAGGGGTGGAGGAAAAGCAGCAAAGTCACCATCCCCGGCACCCCGCTTTGCAGCGGGGGAAGCTGAGGAGGCGAGCGCCAGGGCTTTCTGCAGCTCCCAGCACCTGGGGGGCCCCAGGGAGGGCGCAGGCAGCCGCGGCTGTGCGCGGCCCGGTGCCGCAGCCCCGCGGGCGCAGGAAGTTGGCGGGAGTGGGGTGGGGCGGCGCGGCGGGGACCCCGGCCCCCGCATTACCGTGCTCGGAGTACGTGAACACCAGCATGTCCTCCAGGATCTGCACCAGCGTGTCTATCTGCTTTCCTTCCTGGACGTTGTTCAGCCTGACGATCAACTTCTTCAGAGTTTCCTCGTCCTCGTCCCCGCAGCCCTGCCGGCTGCCACTGGCCATGGTGGCCGCGCCG